CCTACAGAGACTATGAGAGAGACTGGACGACAGATATGGTGCTCCAGAAATGTTGGAGGCGTCTCTCGCCAACAAACTTGTCAACTTCCCAACACTGACGAATAAGGACAACTCACTCCTTTACGATTTGTCAGACATTATCTAAGAAATAGAGTATCACAAAGAAAATCCCAAGCTGGGATGTTTGCTTGCTTATTTCGACTCTTCGTCCGGGGAAAATCCTATTGTGGAAAAACTGCCATACGGACTCAAAGAAAAGTGGATAACAAGGGCTTCAAGATACAAGTCTAAACACGAAGTTGCCTTTACGCCTTTTATCAGAATTCTCTGCCTTCATCAGGGAAATTAGCAAAATTAAGAACGATCCTGGTTTTTTCTTTGGTTCAAAAGTTACATCAAATACAAAAGGTGCTGCGCCAAGGTTCCACCTCAGACGTACTCTAAAGTCAACGTCCATAAGACGGATGTTGAACAGCAAACTGGAGACAGCAGTCAATAACAAGATTTGTGTATCCTACATAAGACAAAACATCCCTTGAACAAATGCAGAGCGTTCCGAGCCAAATCAATTAAATAACGCAATGAACTGTTAAGACAGAACAATGTTTGCTACAAGTGCTGTGAGTCAACCACACACAGAAGTCGTGATTGCAACGCGAGCATCAGTTGTAACGAGTGTGGAAGTAAACGACACACCACCGCTCTACACATATCAAGGGTGCAACCACACACCATTTCTCAAGATAATTCGCCTGGAACAATCTACGGCGGGGAGCAGACAGAGTCAGCTGAAACAAAGTTAACCTCTGTGAGTTCGAACTGCACAGAGATACACAAAGATCCTAAGAGTGAGAAATCTTGTGCCAAGATATTACCTGTGGATGTGTACCACAAGGACAGGACATACAAAATTATCCGGATGTACGCCATCATTGACGACCAAAGCAAACGGTATCTTGCCTCACCTGAATTCTTCAGTCTGTTCAACTCCAAAGTTCGGGAAAATTCGGAAAACAACTCTCTAACAACATGCTCCGGCAGAGTAGCTACTTCCGGGAAAAGAGGAAGAGATTTTTTCTTAAAATCTGTACATGGTGACGTACAATTTGATCTGCCTACATTAATTGAATGTAATAATATTCCCAATAATCGAGACGAAATTCCTACCCCTGTCGCAATGCATCATCCTCATCTAAAAGAACTCAGAGGAAGCATTCCACCAATAGAGGAACGTTGTCAAATTCTACTCTTAATTGGAAGAGACCTTATATATCCAAATCACGTTCTTGAACAACGCCTAGGACCATCCAGAACTCCAATTGCCCAAAAATTGAAACTTGGTTGGGTCATTATTGGAAATACATACATTGACAAGCAAACTGTTCCGCTTGAAGTCAACACGAAGATAACTAACGTTTTAATCACGGAACCAGAACAAGACCGGAAATATACACCGAGGACGAGAATCTAATCGTTGGTCAACAAAACGACCAAAACTTGAGTTCGAATGTCAAGGTTGGAAAAATGCATTTCATACAATTACTTGAGTGTACTGGATCTAGTGCCAAATCTGGTAAACTCACGAATTTCTCTAAAGGGACAGCAATCGTGACACTAAAAACAACATTTGTGCCTTCTATAGAAAATTCTATGGATAAAGAAAATTTCATTCCGAAATCAACAAGACCTGAGGTTCATGGAGAGGAAATCAGTCGCATTCACAAACCTATTCCGAAAGAAGGACGGATTGCTAATCTCAATCTGCCTTTGAACAATCAACGTCTACTCCGAGTAGGACGCAGTATCGCCAAGTCTGACTTGAATATTAGTGAAAAGGAACCGGTGGTCTTATCTGGACATGATCGCAAAGTAACACCCTTTGTTGGACATTACTACGACAAAAACAAACATCGAGGTCGCCACTTCACAGATAGAGCGACTAGATCAACAGGATGGAACAATAAGACGGAACGCTTAATTTCGTCTGATACTCACAAAGATGTGACATTAGGCAACTCGGATGAGGACCAAGTTCTTACTCTCGTCATACTTACCGGAGGACCATCTTCGACCGTCATCGCCGTCTAACAACGTCTGAGAAAACAGTTTCATTTATCACAACAGCAACTATGGAACATTCTATAGATCACAGCAATCTCATTGGAAACATCCTTTTTCTAAGTACAAGAAACAGTGCCGAACCCAGTTTCCCGTGGAATTAATTTATTCTGGAAACTTTATATTGAAAAGTCGTAAGTTGAGACCCGATATTTCTAACACGACCAATAGTGGACATTTCTCTTGTACATAATCAATTCATGTTTGGATTTATTTATTATCATATATTCATATGCGATTTAATTATGAAATAGTGATATCAGATAGACATCAGACGGGGAGTATTCTGTTACGCCGTTCCTCAATTTATATAGTTCGTTTGATTATATTCTTAATCTGTTTATGTGTTTCAGTTTAGGAGGATTATTCATCTTTAACCTGAAAAGAACGTGAAAACATCGTATCATCGCTACCTTTCCTTTGCTCACATGTACCCATTACTGGAAAACTGCAAGGTCATTACGATCACGAGGAATATTTCGTAGAGACGTCATCTTGGACACAATTTGTAGATTACCACAGAGTGAGTTAATTATATAACATTGTATTTGAAGCCTTCAAATTGCTCCTCACATATTTGAACCTTTTCTCCGTGAAATACTGGAAATTTAACCGTTCTTGGAAGTACAACATTTTCTCGCATTCAACGGACTGTGCTATCAATTATTTTTGACATTTCATATATAATAACATTAATTCATCACATTGTAAAATTGTATTTTACTTGGTATTTTCAGCTTTTTACCATATGTCAGATTGGTTCATAATTAAAGTATCAGCATCTGATAGTCTTTTCTCCTTGAGCCCAATCGTCGGTTATACTTAATGGTCAGGCCATTACATACATACAGAATGTGGCGGGGTTGAACATGTTAGCGGGATCCCAAACCTCCTCTAACCTGGGACAATGGTGTAACAGTACAACATAAGAACGAACTATCAAAATCAGTTGAAGAAAGCTCATCAGATGGATACAAATACAAATACTACACAGAGTGGACGTGGCCGGGTACTTGTATATCCCAACAACAAAAAGACACTAAGTACAGATCTGAGAGTACTCGCAGTTACTGACAGCTAGTTCAAAACCACTAACAACTAATAAAAAAAATCATGCGTATAAGACTAAATTGTCAATCAGTACACATCCAGCATCCAATGGATTTACTGTGAAGACGTCATAAACAGTCAGAGAAAAATATGACCTTGTACAATGCCAAGATACAGGTACCGACAGATTGTAGATCCATGAATGTGTATATGTATATATCAATAATATTCAGTTTGCTTTTAATTTACTGATAACAAAATCAATATTAATACCAATAAAAATAACATTCAATGATCTAATTACAGTGTTGAATAGGTAACCTTTTAGAATAAGTTTATTTAAAGGATCGATAAGTTTACCAGGATTGTTTCTACATTTCCGGGCACGGTAAACATTTCCGTAAAAATAAGGATGTGCTATCCCGTTACAACCAAACGTCAAAACCAAATCTTTATATCTATAGAAGAATTTAGTAAAGATTTTAAGTAATTTGTGGTAACGAAATCCCTGGCTTAATAATTTACCAGTAATACATAGATCATGTTCGTTAAAATCAAAAACGTGACAATAGACACAGGCATAGCGAACGAGTTGGGAAATATAAACACCGCAAACTGGTGCCAAAGTAACATCACCATCCAAAAAGGTAAAATTAACAATAGGGAACTAAAAATCGTCCTTTTGTCATAAATTTTAGTGTGGAGTTTCCTTTTTTTTAAATACATAAACAAATCCTATTGCGTATTTCTGAACGCCTCTGTGGTTTCGTAGTAGCGTTCCGCCTCGAATGCGAAAATTCATAGATTCGATCCTTTCCAGGTTAAACAAAAGATTTGAATTGCTATATATGATTTTACGCCAGACGCGCAGCTTTTAGGATTAAAAGAAATGGCAGGTCGAATAGGAGTCTAATTAATTTGTGCATGTGTCTTCTTCTGCGTTGTGAATTACATTTAGTAAGTTAATAATACTAGTATAGCTTATGATGTCAGTCTAGTATACACCAGGGTTCATTTACATGTTCCCCTTCTGATATGCATGTGCTTTTTGCATATTATCATTTTGCTTATGGTCAAAACAGGGGAATTTGACGTCCATGTAAACTTATCGACCGTTTGAATAAACGTATTCTGAAAGTTTATCAATCATTTACCTTACACGCATTGCCAAAATTAAGCATTTATGGTATTTTTCTTTTCGAAGCTTGCATAATTAACTTAAACTGTTTATGACGTCCTTCTTCTTAATTCATTTGAGGTGTACAGATTGATTTTAAAGTTATTGTAATACTACGTTCCTGTCCCAAGTTAGAAGTAGGTATTTGAATCCTCTAAAATATGTATTAATCCGTCACAATTAATATGTGCCTGTACCAAGTATAGATCCTTTAATTCAGTTATTGTTATTAGTAGCTGTATGCCTGTCATATTTGTTTTCTTTACCAGCTTATCATCATCAGACTGCTGGTTTTCTGCTTCTCTTTGTTTTTTATTTGTCAGTAAATAAGGTTTTGGTCATTGTTGAAAGTCTTAATTGCCTACATACAAGTTCTGTGGTCTCTAGTTTATATCAATGATAATCAAAGAATTTTTCGTTTTTCATTTGATTTTTAAGCAAGAATCAAAATAAATACCAAAGAAACCATTGAAATCTTGAGGTGCAAAAGGACAGACAACACAATGGGGCAAAATATATAAAGTCAACTGTTTACAAAAAAAAATCAACACCTTATTCATTAAATGAGTCCGAAGCGCTTTTCTAGATTAACCTTCATCAGAAACGCTCAAAGCCGAATATTTGAAAGCCTAGGATATATAAAAAAACGAAACTATTGAAGAAAAACTGTTTAATAGTAACCAAAAGTACCTAAAAATAGTCAAATTCAAGGTCAACTTTGTCTGAGGGAGTTGAAACCTCAATTTCTTTAAAATTCCAAAATTTGTTAGCGGACAATTTAAGAAGGTTTGTAATAAATCATGTTAGTACCGAAATACTGACTACTGATCTGATGATACCCTCGGGGACTAAAAGAGGTATCGACCCAGTGCTTATAATGTATACTGCAGTCTAAAAATGTGATTTTGCTAATTAAATTAAACAGTGATGAAATTTTTATTTTTCATTTCGAACGTCCTCTTTGGCAATTTTTTTTAAAATAATAAATCATAACGTTTACGTAAGAATATATCCCAGTAGAAATAATCTTTTTTATAATGCTTGGTTACAGAATTCAGTTTACAACGGCACAACTACAACATATACAATTTCAAAATGACCTACACAATGGAACTACTTCAACCAGTGGAATATACGACTGTTTTGTTTTCTTTCTAAATTTCATACACGAAGGCTTTACTTTTAGAACGATTTGCAACAAGAAGAGTAGATGATGATTTGTCTATACTTATTGCATATGGTTTATCAATTTCATTTTCCTTTGACAGGATTGTTTTACTCGTCATCCCGTCTTCTGATAATACTAAAATGCTGTCATTTGCCCTGCATGCCACAAATATGAATCCATGTTTGTCAACTGCTATCCCAAATGGTTCTCGAATATCTTCATGTTTGTTTCTCCATAATAAGACCCCGTTGTTGGTGTAGCAAGATATAACATTTGCATTCCAGTTTGTAACAACGATATTATCTTTAAGCAGCGACAAACGGAGAGTAAATTCTCCTAGTACTCTTATACTGGATAAAATATTTCCCTCAAGATCAAGTGTTGTTAGGTATCCGCGTTCGCTACATGTAGAATGTAATGTTACTACCAGTTTTTTACCGTTGCTGTCGATTCCATAGCAAAAATCTTCTACTTCAATAGTCCTTGTAATGATTTTTTTTTCTATGTCAATTAGCAAAATTTTGTGTAGGTTGAAAATTGTCACAGCTATTAAATTGCCTTTGATGAAACAAACGTCAGATGGTTGGCCGTAGAATGATGTCACAGTTTCAGTGAATCTGCCATCTTTCGAAAACAAAAGCAAACTTTTACTAGCAAAATCTAGAATAAGTTTTCTACCATCAGGTAAAACCTGACAACCGTGTATTTCTAATTTTCTTACAATCTTCGGAATTTTCAATGTTGTTTTCAGGTTCGGGTTAATATTATCAATTGTTAATAAAGGTGAAACTGACTGATGCACCTGATCTGCGGAAGAGGTTTTTAGCTTCAAAGTACATGCAGATGCATGCGTTATTGCAGTGCCAAATGTTCTTATGTTATTTGTCAGACATTTTAAATCGAAAGATAGTTTCGACTCAATACGAATGTCATCCAACTGACCCTTGCTTTGCAAATCATGTAGATATTCAACTTCTGGCGATATATATTTCTCCAAGTACTGCAAACCAACGTAGGTTTTAAGGTCTGTCGCATACATTTTCATTTTTAAGAGGTCATTTTGCAAAATTTGAATAACTTCTTTTTTGTTCCCAATTTCAGTGGAAAGATGATATGATTTCAGTTTAATCTTATTGAATTCCATAGATAAATCATCCACTATTTTCTTTTCTATATTATCTAAATGATTATTTATTGAGGCACGCAGATTTTGTATTTCCTTAAGAGATTCTGATTCGTTTTCCTGGAGGACGGTTATTCTAGAATTTAAATGTTTGACTACTGTTTCAAAATCTTCAAGTAAAATTTTCAACTCTTTTTCCAAATTTGAAACTTTAGCGGATGTTTTGATATCCTTTAACACTTCAACCAATGAGTCTAAACCCCTGCAATCTTTATGGTTGTCTTTTATGCACTTTACACAGCAAGGGTCGCCGTGGAATTTACAATAAAAGTTATACTTTTCATCGTGCTTTTCACAGCGACTTTTTATATTAACAATAAACGAAGGCAGTTTTTTATACTCCTCCAGGGTTATAGTTTGATGCCCTTTTGAAGCTTTAATTCTGCCATGGTGCCTTTCACAGTCTTTGCAAAGAAAAGTCTCACAATCAGCACACCAAACAACTGCAACATTGAAAACATCTTCCTCTTCACAAAGATTACAAAAATTGCTAGCAGATGCCATACCCGAAAGGTTAGACCTGCCAAAGAAAAAATTATGTATGCCAATACTTTCGGAAATTCAGTTAGCTTTCATTCCCTTCCCATCTTCGATAAATTTTTACTGCGTCCTGTAAAAATATGTTTTTTTTTATCACAAACTGAAGTGTTTGTTTGGTGTGATCAAAATGTGTTTTAAATATGTTGGTTGCTCATGATAGACTAGTGTTGTGAAATATTTTAACTATGGTATATTTATGACATATTATAGCTTTTATGTGGATTTTTTTCTTCGATCTTTTTATGTGATCATTTTCATTCTCCCTCGACTCGCTTGAGAACGAAAACTATTTGCTAGTTTCTATAAGTACTTTAGCAACACCGTTATAATACATATCCACGCACTAGAGTTGTCGACCAATCAGGAAAGTTTAGCTATCAAAAAACGGTATCGGATGACTGCGCTGAAATGTCAACAAAAAAGTGTTTTTCTAGCTCGTTTCAATTTTACCGTGTATTTCATTTATACATTAACTTAATTTAGTTAATAAAAGGAATTTAATCATGTTTCTAACAAATAAAAAAAGTAAATTTTTTATACAAATGTGCTACAAATGATTGTCTGTCTGTCTGTTTGCATGTATTGTATATTATCTTACCTCCTATACATTTCTAGGAATATGATTGGTTAAAAGCGTCCGCGTGGAGACCGTGTATATTCCATATTAGGTTAGTAGGGAGGCGGGGCTTATTTCAATACACGGTTAGTAGTGGAATTACGAATTTGACACTATTTGATTATTTAACTGAATTGAAAGTTCTGTTTAATATTGTTATATCAAGGTTGTTGATATTAAATTGTTATTGTTGACATTAGTTTTTTTGTGCAGACGAATGGAAGTAGTCGGTAAGATAAATTTGTTACATAGTGTGCTAGTGACCTAATACGATATATACGGGGTCAGTAAATTCCATTTATTCGAAAATAATAGCGATAAATAGATTATTTTTTTTTTTTTAAATCGAAGCATAATCATATTCTCATCTCATCTCAGGGCGATTGCCCTTCTATGAAAAAAAAACCCCATGAATAATCTATAAATCTGTACTCATTTTTTTAAACTTCCGTTAGGAGATTTTTAATCATTTGATAATGAAATTTATCAACAATTCACAGGTAAAAACACAATTCTTATTCATTGATTGTTACGAAGATTAAATAATTATGGTCTTACACTGCATTTTATCCGTAATTGATATGTAGTCTCAAAAATTGTCTGTCTGCTGAGTTGTCTTAACTATAATTTTGATTGCAAGGTATTTTAGTTGTTTTTGTTCATATAAAAAAATGAAATGATTTGCCGAGTGCAGCCTGATACAACCGCAGAGGTTGAACTCTGAACAGTTGGTGCAAGTTTGGACACAATAGTCAAGCTTGATACTGTCTGAATTTGGATTGTTATCAAATTTTTGACATAATATAGATTTCTGACACAAAATAAATGTGGTGAAAGATCTAAAAATTTGAAATGGGTTAAATAATTTGTATCAAATTTCAATTGAAGATCTCTTGCTATTGCGCAATACTGTGATATTGTGCAATACTGTGATATTGTGCAATATTGTGCTATTGCGCAATACTGTGCAATTGAATATTTCTTGCTATTGCGCAATACTGTGCAATTGGACATTTCTTGCTATTGCGCAATACTGTGCAATTGAAGATTTGCCATTATTAATGGAAGTGCATATCAAAGTTGAAGAAAGAATATGCATCCCGGGAATTATGTTAAAGCTTTGGTAAATCATGACAGTAAAATCCAGTTTTTTTCACAATTCATGACTCAGTTATTTCTAAAAGTACATTTATATATAAATTTACGCAAACAATTTTACTGTTTTAGATGAAACAAATATATTCAACTAAATTTTAACAAAATGAACAGGTTAATCAATTAACGAGGAATTATACGTACTTTTTAAAGGAGCAAATAGCCTTATTCCATTGCATTACCAGGAAGTAAAAGGATCACAAGATATGACACATACACGTATGATAAAAAAGGACTTGTCCGTAAACAAGTACAAAACTTATTTTATACACGTCATTGGAAGTGATCTACATGTAAACAAGAATATTTTTTGCGGGGAACTTTTAACAGCATGCATAGGCAAAATAATTACATTTTGAAGGCTTTTTTTTAGCTATAATGATGCATTTCAATAACTCATAACGCATATAACATACAAAAAATAAAAAAAAGTTATACGACGGCTATTATCCATATTATCCGATGCATTACGTTTGCGCGCATTGACATAACATTTGCGCGCAAAAATCATTACGTTTGCAAGCAGCTTTTGATTGCATTTGCGCGCATTTATTTGACAGATAAACTCAGGTAAATACAGATAATAATACTTATTTATTTATAAATTTATTCAATTATTTTTAAGTTTAAGTACCCTTTCCGTTAGTCTTAGTCACCTACTCACCCACGAGGAGGTGGAAGTGGAATTTCAAGCAGGAATTATATTCTATCAATAAGGAAAGTATATCCATCGTATACTGATGATTTTCCCCCAATTTGCTAAAAAAAACCTACAATGTTTCTGCCTTGACAAAACTTAACACTAACTTAAATTATTTACGAATTTAAAAGCGATCACTATTCGGGGTACTTTTTCACTCTGAAAAAAATCGCATGAAGTTACGTGTATGTTCTAAAAGAGGGACGAAAGATACCAGAGGGACAGTCAAACTCATAGATCGAAAACAAACTGACAACGCCATGGCCAAAAATAAAAAGACAAATAGACAAATAATAGTACAGATGAAACAACATAGAAAACTAAAGACTAAGCAACACAAACCCCACCAAAAACTGGGGGTGATCTCAGGTGCTCCAGAAGAGTAAGGAGATCCTGCTCCACATGTGGCACCCGTCGTTCTAAGCTTTAACGGGATTTTTTTGTCATGAACACTTTATATTTTGTCTTAGAATTCAATATGAAAATTTTTTAATTTGAATTAAAATATATTTTCAAAGTTAATGATGTATAGTGATATATTTTTATTGGCTATTCATCTTTATCTCTTGCTACATGTACATAGGCTTATATTTTCCCCTCGCTCAATTTATATAAAAAAGAAGATGTGGTATGATTGCCAATGAGACAACTCTCCACAAGGGACCAAATGAAACAGAAATTAACAACTATAGACAATGAGCAATGCCCATACTGCATAGTCAGCTATTAAAGGCCCCGAAATGACAAATGTAAAACAATTCAAACGAGAAATTTAACGGCCTAAATTATGTACAAAAAATGAACGAAAAACAAATATGCAAGACGTCAACAAACGACAACCACTGAATTACAGGCTCCTGACTTGGGACAGGCACATTGTGCTATTGCGCAATACTGTGCAATTGAATATTTCTTGCTATTGCGCAATACTGTGCAATTGGATATTTCTTGCTATTGCGCAATACTGTGCAATTGAAGATTTCTTGCGATTGTGCAATACTGAGCAATTGGATATTTCTTGCTATTGTGCAATACTGTGCAATTGAAGATTTCTTGCTATTGCGCAATACTGTGCGCCATTGAAGATTTCTTTCTACTGCGCAATACTGTGCAATTGAAGATTTCTTGTTATTGTGCAATAATATGCAATTGAAGATTTCTGGCTATTGCGCAATACTGTGCAATTGAATATTGCTTGCTATTGCACAATACTGTGCTATTGCCAACACTGTGCAATTGAAGATTTCTTGCTATTGCGCAATACTGTGCTATTGCACAATACTTTTAATATAATAATTTACGCATCATGTTTGGTGTGCATCTCCTGCTATATCAGTATTTTTTGGTTTATATATAAATCAGAAAAAATCAATGGAAAAATGGAAAAACATATGAAAAAATATTCCTCCCTCCCAAAACAATTTTTTTTTGAACCCCCTTTTGAGTAAATTAATTTCCCCCAAACTCAAAACCCTTTGTGGTATGATACCTTGCAGTACAATATAATAGAGAGATCCATACATTTGAACACAAGTTAATGTCTGGAAACTAGAAAAATGCTTGTTTTTGGTCCCTAATTCCTAAACATTTGGGGGCAATTACCCACAAACTCATTCCCTGCTTTCCTTTTGTGATATAGAACCTTGTGATACAATTTCAGAGAGATTTATACACATACACACAAGTTATTTACCGCGAACTACTAAAATGCTTATTTTGACCCCTTTTTGGCCCCAAATTCCTAAACTGTTACTACCTTAACCCCAAATATCAATCTCAACCATCCCTTTGTGGTATGAAAACTTGTGGTATAATTTCAGAGAGATCCATACACTTAAACACAAGTTATTGTCTGGAAACTAGAAAAATGCCTTTTTGGGCCTCTTTGTGGTCCCTAATTCCTAAACTGTTAGGACCATAACCCCCAAAATCAATCCCAACCTTCCTTTTGTGGTTATAAACATTGTTGTTTAAATTTCATAGATTTCTATTTACTTATACTAAAGTTATTGTCCGGAAACCAACTGTCTTCGGACGACGACGACGACGACGACGACATGATACCAATATACGACCGCACAATTTTTTTGCGGTCGTATAAAAACCTATTGCTTATTTTAACTGATTTATGGACTTGGCCACCAAAACTTAACTGTGTTCACTGGTCTTTGAAATGAGGTCGAGGTCAAATGAAAACTGAGTTGATCACATTTTTCGATCAAACTAGCTTCTGAATAATTAGCAAACCACAGAATAAACATGTACTGTTAATTGCAAATTAATAATACTATATTGTAACAATAGTGCACACGCTGAAATGTCTCGCCTGCTTTACTGGCCATGATTGTTTTATAAATATTGAAAGTTTAAGTACAAGTATCATGGGAATGTGGTCATAGTCGGATAAACCCTATCATTGACACCTAACAATTAATCCATACATCAACTTGTGTGGTCATATTGCTAAACCACTTAACCATGAAAACATAACATTGAACAAAAAACCATGTAATTGAGATCAAGGCCAGCAGATACATGCTAGACAGACATGCACAACTTAAATTACTTCCATGTACCAAATACAGGTTTCCTTCAACTTATAGAACCTATACGAAACAGATTAAACCAGGGAAATTGAAAATTGACCAGTGAACCATGAAATTGAGGTAAAGGTCAGATGAACCCTAGCAGACAGATATGATCATCTTGTCATCATTCCATACACCATATATCTTAGTTAATTTACTGCTTATACAAAATGTAGGATCTAAGAAACGGAATTAATCTTAAAATCAAAATAGTTTTTAAATTTTTGAACCACAAGTAGCATATAACTTTTTATATATCTATGTCCAACCATGCCCTAAAATTGTTCTTACCTCAAAAGTATTTTTTTGTACTCATGCACTTTAAATTTTGTTATGCAAACAGGGTCACAGATGCCAAAAGGTTAAGGTGAACCTTTCAAAGTTATTTGATCGATCTGCACCAATCGGCCTTCCATTATTTGATTTTCTACATGATTTGTATAACTGTATTGAATAAAAAAGAGATGTAAGGTATATAAAACAACAACAAACAGGCTTCAACAATGAAAAAATGTCAAATTACATGGGAATTTTTTTATGGGCGTTTATTTTTTGATTAACCAACCAATGTAAACAATATTGCGCTTTGAAAACGTAATTAGCTTTTTATTTAAAAAATCGATAACAAATGAAAAGAAAGTAAAAAGAATATTAAAATGCTTCAACGTAATTATTCTAGATATTTCAAAAATGCATATGCCTATAAATAATGAATAAATCAGCTGTTTTCCAGATTTGTTGTGTATAATCCTCTAAGTAAAACAAATATTCAAATTAGATCACATCAAAAATACAACGCTGATAAGTGCCGAAATATAGGTTTTTGAGTCGAATATTTAAAAATGTCCAAATTGGTACTATACTTATTGCATTGATTAATGGAAGTGCATATCAAAGTTGAAGAAAGAATATGCATCCCGGGAATTATGTTAAAGCTTTGGTAAATCATGACAGTAAAATCCAGTTTTTTTCACAATTCATGACTCAGTTATTTCTAAAAGTACATTTATATATAAATTTACGCAAACAATTTTACTGTTTTAGATGAAACAAATATATTCAATTAAATTTTAACAAAATGAACAGGTTAATCAATTAACGAGGAATTATACGTACTTTTTAAAGGAGCAAATAGCCTTATTCCATTGCATTACCAGGAAGTAAAAGGATCACAAGATATGACACATACACGTATGATAAAAAAGGACTTGTCCGTAAACAAGTACAAAACTTATTTTATACACGTCATTGGAAGTGATCTACATGTAAACAAGAATATTTTTTGCGGGGAACTTTTAACAGCATGCATAGGCAAAATAATTACATTTTGAAGGCTTTTTTTTAGCTATAATGATGCATTTCAATAACTCATAACGCATATAACATACAAAAAATAAAAAAAAGTTATACGACGGCTATTATCCATATTATCCGATGCATTACGTTTGCGCGCATTGACATAACATTTGCGCGCAAAAATCATTACGTTTGCAAGCAGCTTTTGATTGCATTTGCGCGCATTTATTTGACAGATAAACTCAGGTAAATACAGATAATAATACTTATTTATTTATAAATTTATTCAATTATTTTTAAGTTTAAGTACCCTTTCCGTTAGTCTTAGTCACCTACTCACCCACGAGGAGGTGGAAGTGGAATTTCAAGCAGGAATTATATTCTATCAATAAGGAAAGTATATCCATCGTATACTGATGATTTTCCCCCAATTTGCTAAAAAAAACCTACAATGTTTCTGCCTTGACAAAACTTAACACTAACTTAAATTATTTACGAATTTAAAAGCGATCACTATTCGGGGTACTTTTTCACTCTGAAAAAAATCGCATGAAGTTACGTGTATGTTCTAAAAGAGGGACGAAAGATACCAGAGGGACAGTCAAACTCATAGATCGAAAACAAACTGACAACGCCATGGCCAAAAATAAAAAGACAAATAGACAAATAATAGTACAGATGAAACAACATAGAAAACTAAAGACTAAGCAACACAACCCCCACCAAAAACTGGGGGTGATCTCAGGTGCTCCAGAAGAGTAAGGAGATCCTGCTCCACATGTGGCACCCGTCGTTCTAAGCTTTAACGGGATTTTTTTGTCATGAACACTTTATATTTTGTCTTAGAATTCAATATGAAAATTTTTTAATTTGAATTAAAATATATTTTCAAAGTTAATGATGTATAGTGATATATTTTTATTGGCTATTCATCTTTATCTCTTGCTACATGTACATAGGCTTATATTTTCCCCTCGCTCAATTTATATAAAAAAGAAGATGTGGTATGATTGCCAATGAGACAACTCTCCACAAGGGACCAAATGAAACAGAAATTAACAACTATAGACAATGAGCAATGCCCATACTGCATAGTCAGCTATTAAAGGCCCCGAAATGACAAATGTAAAACAATTCAAACGAGAAATTTAACGGCCTAAATTATGTACAAAAAATGAACGAAAAACAAATATGCAAGACGTCAACAAACGACAACCACTGAATTACAGGCTCCTGACTTGGGACAGGCACATGCATACAGAATGTGGTGGGGTTAAACATGTTAGCGGGATCCCAACCCTCCCCCTAACCTGGGACAGTGGTGTAACTTACAACATTATATCCACTTTTGCAACCCCTAAAATCAAATGGTAGGTCCTATTACACAAACTTCTCGTACTCATTTTTGGCAAATCGCATTAATTCCGCCAAAATATGCTGAAGCATTTATTATATATTCACACAAACTGTGTTATATGGAATATTGTAAATAATTTAAATTAGTCCATGAGAATTTAGAAAATTACATGAAAAGAACAAAATATAACATCTTTCATTTGAAAAAAGCAAACAACTCTTATTAGTTTACTTTGTGGAACAGTCCATAGCCAACAAAGCTATTAAAACTTTCGATGAGGTCCTAAAATAAGTCAGACATCACGGCTTTGCAAACATCGATGTCACTCATGATCAAAAAAGAAAGAAAAGCTTATAAAAACTTTGCAAATTCATCAAAATAATAAATAAAGCCTTGTGTTCTCCAGGCTTAATGATTAAGTTAATCTAGTGTAAATTCATCCCATTTTTGTTGATAAAATGTTAATTCCACATTGGATAGAGGTATGGGGAGGTGGTATAAAAAAAAACATGTTATAACCCGCTTTAGCCTGTCCCTAGTCTGGAGTCTCTAGTTAATCTTGTGTTTGTTTTTATAAAATGTTTGTTCATTTACACAAAGTAGACATGAAGTAAGGAGTTGAGCTTATGAAATTGAAAAATTATTACATCTTGTAAAAGCATTTGCAGTAATTTTTATAAAATGTAATCTTTGCATTAAAGAGCCCCTTTAGAAAGTGGAAGCTATCATATTTCCTTCCAAAATCTGTTGAAATTCGCCTGTACTGGATACATGTATATATGGTCTTTTTATGGGCTACAGGTATAAGGGAAGGGTTGAGATGTTAAACCCCGCCACATCTTTGCGCTTGTCCCAAGTCAGGAGCCTCTGGCCTTTGTTAGTCTTGTATTTTTAAAGTTTAGTTCAATTATATGGTTTGTAGTTTAGTATGACGTGCATTTTTTATTGAACTAGTACTCATTTTTGTGCGTGAGTTTCTCACTGTGTTGAAGACCCATTCGGCTATTTTTCACTCTTTGGTCGGGTTGTTGTCTCTTTGACACGTTTTCCATTTCAATTCTCTATCTTATTCTGTCTTAATGACTGGAAACATTTTCGGTTGAAAGCTAAAACCTTGTGAACTATAGCTACTCTACATATCCGATTTTATTAAGTACAAAACATGCGTTATATTTCAATACACATTTCATGTATCACACTGAATATGAATGTAATATCATCCGCTGAATATTAAGCAGCCATAAACAACCAATCAATATTTTAGTTGTGAAGTAGCTGTCCTGGTACATCTTTAAGTTATAAGACAACTTAGATTTTCAACAGAAGACTCGTTACAGGCGATGCCGGTCAATTGTTCTAGATTTGTATTTGGCTTCCGAACCTTTAAATCTATTAAAATTTAGGAATTTTCAAATGAGATTTAAATGCAGGAAATATTCTATTTATGTTTTATAAATAGCTCAAAGATATGCGGCAAAGATGTAACGGTAAACTGCGATAAGAACAGGACATTCAGGTTCCATAGGTCACATTTAGTATTTCGACGTGTTGCGGAATATCTAAACATGTGACATAGTTCCCAATATGTTATAATTTCGTAGTCCGGTCAACTAGTTCATATATAGACCAGTATCGAATTGTGAACACACATCAAACATGTTGGCTTTTCTGTGTCTCGGATTTTTGACTGTTTCACAGGGTAAGCACAATTAATTCCTCCCATTGTTGGTTAAGTTTTTTGAATTTAACAATAACAAAAACATGACTTGTGTGTGATGTGCCTTTGTCTCTTAATTCCAGAGCAACGTTTTTGCACAATGTGGATTCATTATTATTCGTTGGATACCAATTTTCGTGGGTTTTGTGGGTACATGTAAACAAAACCACGAATTCAAATGTTCAACGAATTACAAATTTTCTATATGCTTTGTACATGTTGTATGAATAGATTGGCAAAACCATGAAAACAAATGCCCACGAAAATGCAAGTTTTCCACAAGCCACGAAAATTGAAACCCACAATAATAAATGAATCCACAGTATATTTAAATGCGATGGCGTCTGGTTCTCTGTTTATGTTATTTTTGCATTCCATTGTTATAAAATAAGGCGGAAGATACCAAGTTGATATTATAAACTCCATTGACCACGCAATGGTAAAAATAAAGATAAACGAGAAAAAAGGGAAAGAAAAATCCAAAGTAATATTTATGTCTTATCTAATTTAACATCTTTAATTCTTGTTTCTTTCATAGCTCTTTTTCTTGGTGATTTAAAGTTACCATCAGATCGCCCACCATTATGCCTGATGTGTTGTGGGCCATCACCCTGTTGTAATACTTGTGGACTGGACAACGATCTGATATCTCTGCTGAAACCTGCAGGTGCGTAAAATATGTTATATGTTATATTTTGGTTCCAAGTCTATATAGTTAAGATTATAGCACGGATGTTTATGATCACGGCATTCATCACTTAAGGGATTGGAGAAAATTGGCAGGATTAAACATATGAACTAGATTGTGGACATTAAGTGCATGATGATAGATAAATGTGCTTTCCATTGAACTAATAAACTTTTTGCGCCTCCTTCTACTCATCTTTATTTTTGTGCAATTACTTGATGTAATTATTATACAACAGCGGTAAAAATCATAGTATATTTTTAAAACCATTACGAATTAACTTTTTTCAATAAATTTGCCTGCGGATTACACATATATCTTCCTTCAGTTGGTACACAAGTAAACGGAAAAGAAGTTGTTTCTGCCAAGAGATTCCTGGTTGATGATCTATTTCATGAACAGAACCCTGGAGCATGTCTTGACTGTTGTGGAGCACATCCATGTTGTCACGATTGTGGATTAGGAGGTACTCTTACATTTTTCATACTCATACTCATACATACTCTTTTTAACTTTATAATGATACGATGTCATGTAATAGCTAACAAGGAACTGGTAAACTGCAACTCTAATCTCTAAATTTTAATTTAGTCCTATATAATTCTGACACCCAGGACATGCAGAGACATATATCCTGGATTTTATAACACAAGTCTGCTCAAATTATATTGTTATAGCAAAATATTAACAAGAATTCATATATTAAACTTTTTTGTACGTGCTGAATTTTCTAAAAGGAAAATAACACTATATATGCTTGCTATACCTCTTATGATAAAACGCAAAAAAATGTCAAGTTGGTAAATAATGAAGCCGGACGCGCTTTTCGTCTTTTAGAATATAATTTGAGCAAACTTGTCTTATAAAATCTAGGATGTATGTCTCTGCATAATCTGGATGTCAGAATTATATAAGACTAATATAGTGTAACCGAAGAGCATGATTTTCATTACAAAATCAACTTATCTCCTCAGGGACTCAAATCCGGGACCTCTGTGATACAAGGCAGCGCTCTAATTGACTGAGCTAAGAAGTATTTCCCTAGTTCCACCGCTTACGACTGGCTAAGTATCTACTACATACTACGGGAAGCAATCCCGTCACAATAATATATAGTGTTATTGTTCCAGGAATTATTCTGTCATTTATGTGACAAATGTTCAGCGGAAATACAATACAATGAACCTGTTTTGTAATTACAGATCTCTTTGGCAACCATCATCATACACTAATGCCATTTACGACAGCCGAACCTCACTCACCAGAGAAAGATGAAAGCTATGGAGACAAGGACCCATTAACCGGTCTTTCAGGAATCCATTTCCCTCATATTGACCCAGTAATAGACCCAATCATTGGCCATCCAGATACTGACGTGGCTAAATCATACTGGGAAACGCTTGGAAAGAAGTAATAAACTACTGTTTCATGTGTTTTGTGTGTTTTTATCTTATGTCATTGCGTAGAGAATCACGTTGGTTGAAGTCGTTATGAACCCGGATGAAACAGAGAACTATAAACAAATTTTAAGATGGAACCACTATTTGTGTACAACATTCCAAATATTTGAGACTCAGTGGTTCATTGTTCTTAATCCACAGTTATATCTTTTTTTAATTAATAAGTAAAAACACCTTTGAATTGTGTTTCACACATGTCCCTTATAGGAACACATGTATACTTAACTAAATATATTCTGCAATAAACCTTTCATTTAGTCTGGAATAATATATTAAACTATACGAGATTTTTTATTATGGAAAAAGGACTATTGTTTGTTTTCTATTTTTGCGAAGCATATAATTGATAATTTCACAAAACTTATACCATTTATATATGAAGGACTCAAATCTATGGTGGGTTCCAGATCTATGGCAGATTCCGAATCTATGGTAAATATGACGTCATGCCATCCCTAATCTATGGCAAGTTTTGTAATTTCCTAATCTATGGCGGATTTTTGTTGTTTTCAAATCTATGGCAGATTTTGTGCAAATGGAGATCAAGGCAGAAAATATACGATCAATGACTTGTCTTAAACAAGTCGAAATGTACGACAACGTGAGCATGTCTATAAACATTTGTGAAATAAACATTCCATAATGTTCAACCAAATCGTGATGGCAACCATAAAATGTCCTAAGTGTAGCAGTGATATACCATAATACAGACTTCGGGATTGAATTGATGTGCCCCATAAAAATAAGTATTTTCTAATCTGTGCATGGTACCTGTTAAACCCATTCATTAAACCACTAGTAAAAATGGAAGTCCCTTAACAAACAAGAAAGCAGTTTTTTATAAAAAGAATTAAACAGTTTGACTTTTCACAATTATATTTATTTGAGCGTTAATCAATCTTTTTTAACTGATGACGATTTAAGTCAAAGTGGTATATCCTGTAATTTCATCTCTCACTTTATATACTTTGCCAGCCATAGACGCTAACATATTTACTATAACTCCTTTCCTAAGATATACACTACTAAAACAGCGGTGCCTTTCTTCATCGCGGGATACGGACGATACAGCACATATTGTCCCTCCTCTGAATAAAAGGTCACACTATCGGCAAATTGTTCTAGAGGGAAAGCGGAAAGTGTTTCCCTGTGTATTTGTTTGTAAAAATATGTGAGCCCCGTGTTAAATATCTGTTTTTGAATTACATTCTACATATAAAAAAAATCTATATAAAATGGTGTTCAAATCTATGGGTTCCGCCATCCTTAGCGGCGGCGACGACGCAATATGGCGTTATTTAATTGTGACGTTATATGTTACTCTTTTTCCCGGAAAAATTACAAGATCTGCCATAGATTTGTAGAAAACAAAAAACTGCCATAGATTTGATTTGTTTGGCGTTTGTAACGTCATATTTGCCATAGATTAGGAATCTGCCATAGATTTGGAACCCGCCATAGATTTGAGTCCTACATATATATTTTTTTAAAGTTAGAAAAAGAATTTTCATTCGATAATTACCATTAATTATCATACTAAATAGATTTGGCTTTCCTAACATTTTGAGGACTCGGTTGTACCTGATGCTAACTATTTCAGAAACTGGAGTCATGCGTGATCATTTGTATTTCACTACCACTCAGTCGGACTCGGTCCTTATACTGAGGAATTAATAAGTGTTCAAGGTTCCGAGGATATCATTCGTGAAGTATATAACCAGTACTCCTGTATTGGCACTATCTAAACAATCACCCATTTTTCTGTAACATATGAAATCAACAAGATGTAACTTGTTATGAAACTAGGCTAGCTAGCAACTACCCCAGGCGAAGTTGACATTGTAATGTCTAGCTACGAAACACGCGGCAATTATTTTTTGTACTGTATAGATCCTTTCCAATAATGAAGCAGTTCTGTGAAGAGTCCTTATCTTACTTTTAACAATTTCAAGATACTGAATCTTTCCAAACCTTTTCCATTGTCCCGAAAATGACATGATGAAATATGTGCCACTGGACTTTTATCGAACAACTATCAATTAACATTTTCCCATTTCCTACTCCTCCCAAGATAATATCCCTTGCGTATTCTACATATTTGTTGTATTTTTTTAATTTTCGTCCAAATATGCTTGAAATATTCTACACTGAATATTGAGTTCACACACTCAATCACTGAAATGTAACTACTTTTGGGAGGCTCCTCAGCATTTCAGCATTTCAATTGCATATCAGTTTCAGAAAGAATATGACATATGAACTTCAATGCAAAACTAATTCATTTTATTCAGATTTCAGAAACAAATGGCCTTCCTAAGCGACGTAATAAAGAATGGTTGAAAGAAACAAGTTTATTTTCTTACATTGTCATTGGTGATTGAGTGTCTTGTCTTGTTTGATTCGTTCATTCCGCAAATAGTCAACTCTGTGGTAGCTACTTTGAGGCTTTTTCATATAAAAATCATGAAAAAAATACATACATTGTATCAAAAGCTTTTCAATGAAACCCATATTTTATATTGAAGTGTTAAGTTGATTTTTCGTTCTTTGATCTAGACAAAATCATCAAATGATAGACATATTAGAATAGGGTTCCACCTATGACCCTTTTGAGATTTTGTGTGAACATATTCTGCAATTATACTGTTTCTGACTCAAATATTATGTTTTGCTGAATAAATATCAATGACAAAAATTAGCTTGTGATTATTGTGCCAATCTAAATGCAAAATGGCAGCCATACTGGACAGAAACCATGGGTTATAAACGTATAATTTTTCTTTCAAAATATTATAGATGCATTGTACAGCGTTCAATTTTTATGGATTGTCTCAGGAACTGCATGTTTTTTTGTGATGAATGGAGTCAAGTTGGATGAAAAGAAATGTGAAGTAATGGTATTTGCGAACAGATTAAAAAAAAAGCCAAAATTTCAGTAACTGCTACGACCTTGTCCTCTGATTATGTGACCTCAAAATCATTAAGGGTTCTATTTCAACAAAGGGTGAATGCTAATCAAAAGATCTAACTAGTGCTTTAAAAGAATCTAGGAAAATGGCTTTTTTTAAAAATTCCATTCTTTGGCACCATGACCTTGAACTCTGATCTGCTTACACAACAATTATTAGTGGTCCTGTTCTTACCAAGGCCGATTTCAAACTAACTTAAATTAAAGTTGGTCTTGTGCTGTAACTTACAGTGAGAGATGGGGAAACGGATTTCAGTCATTTAGTTGCTGCTGACCATTGACCTGGTGACCAAAAAATTAATAAGAGCAGTTCTTCAATCAATTGAGCTATACCATACCAAAATCTGGTCAATATGTTGTTAAAGGTTCAAAAAGTTATATCCACAAAATAAAGGGTATAAAAGTTCGGATGTATAGAAATATTGAACGTATAACCATAATAATAAGCTGTCAGACTGTCACAAATTTAATCACAAGAGTGCTGAAATGTCTAGCCTGCTTATTTTTTAATAATAATTGAACAATGAGGATGGGGTCATTGTCAAATGAACCCTGCCAGACAAACATATCCATCTTCAATCAAACCATACACCAAATACAGTTGACCTATTGGTTAATGTACCTGATAAACTGACAAACCATGAAAAATTTACATTGACTAATGAACCTTGAAAACAAGGTCAAGGTCAGATGAACCCTGCCAGACAGATATGTACATCTTACAATCATTCCATACAGAAAAAATAGATGACCTATTGCTTATAGAATTGGATATAAACTAACAAAACCATGAAAACTTAACATTGACCAATAAACCATGAAATAAAGGTCACGGTCAGATGAATCCTGCCAGTCTGATATGTACCCCTTTCAATTATTCAATACACCAAATATAGTTGACCTATTGCCTATAGTATCTGAGATATGGACTTGACAACAAACTTTAACCTTGATCATTTATCCATGAAAGGAGGTTCAGGTCAGTTGAACCCTGTCTGATAGACACATAGACGATGCAAGGAACCAATGTATCAAATATATATTATCCTATTACTCATAACCACTGAGAAATGCACATAGGTGGATCCAGGTGAGGGGGCCTGGGCCCCCCTATTGTGGGAAAAATTTGGTTGATTATATAGGGAATCACTGAAGCATGACTGGAGCGGGGCCCCCTCTTAGGGCGGTCAGTGGGCCCCTCCTCATGAATATTTTTGAATCCGATACTGAATCACATTACAAAAAAAAACATTGGTTTTCCAAGTTGTTGAGGTCAAGGACAATCTACATTTAAAAAATGAAAGCTTCATAACATAAGGTACATACAAGATATGAAGCATCCAGGTCTTTTTCATTATGAAATGAAAAGCTTTATACAAATAGTTTACGCTGTCACCAGATTGTATCCCTATGGCTCGCATGACTGGCAGTATGCCACTTTTGTTGCAGGCGAGACAAATATGATCCACGAATGGATTGCACCTATGACTATTGTCATGCATTGTAAAATTTCAAATGCCTAACCCCTCAATTTCTAAAGTGAAACATGTACAAATAATCAAATATATTTCAATATTTGACTCTATTCCTAGCAACTCATCAAGTCATCCTGATCAATAGTTCTGGGACAGTCAATTGCAAGAGTATTTCATGTATTGTTAATACACTTATGGTATAAAACCACTAATTCATAGCCCCATTGCTTTCTATGTTAAATTCTGCAATTTCAAGCATTAATGGCTAATTTGTCTTAAGTTCAAATAAAGTAGCAGTTATTTCATGTCAAAACTATACCTTATCCTGACTTGTGCTGAAAAATTCAACATACCTTTAATTGCATTTTAGAGCGTACTGGTTCCCGGAAGTTTGATAGTACAAAAACAGGTACTTCTGATCTGAACAACAGGGCAAATGTGCCCTCCTATTAAAATTGTATATACTTCTTTATTATTCAAAAGAAACTTTCAACACGGGTTCTACAGTGATCCCAAGTCCCCAAGCTTTCATTTGATACCAAAACTACCCAAATATTCCACCTATTGACAAAGATACAGCTATGCGTAGGAACTATTTTGTTTAAAATATGTACTACTTTCTTGTATGTTCTTTCCGACCGGGCCTTAATTAGTGGTTCTTTACCTATAACAGCACCTAACTTGTTATATTGACTTCTGCTTGACTTAATTTCCTTCTATGATCTATTTCTAGCATAGGAAAACACATAAAGCTTTAGTTAAAACACAATATCACTGAATTCAAGCTCAAATTGGACTGGTAGTAATATATGCGTTATACAAAGAAAACTCCATATGGATACTAATAGTGACAGATATGACACTTTTTCAATGTTTACCAGTTCTTATTTGTTAATATCTACTCAAATAGCAGTGTCCTTACATATCTGTCTTATTTTTATCAAAGATTCTTCCTTGAATATAAATACAGTGGTCCAAACATAAAAAAATAATAGATAATTTTGACCCCCCTTTTTTCTACATGTTGAAAAAGGAGAGTGATTTGGTAAAAACCATACTTTTATGTATAAACATGGATTAACAAGAGCAATTTATGTATCTCCCAGTTAGACAACTTGCTAAACTGGTTATAAAATGCATTTCAAGTGAGATTTGGGAAATCCTATATAAGTATACATCAATTTCATTTGAAATAAATGATTCACTAAGAAACCCAATAAAACATGAACACTCACTAGATAATTTGACCAAAAGCAATATTTATACTATTAACTAGTCATAATGTACATGTTTCATTGGTTTCAGTCTTAGGTAATGCAAAAATTCAAACATCAGGTAAAATCTTAACTGTGTGCATGCTAAATGATCAAAAAAGGCTGATATACCTTATTGTAGCAATTTGAGGGTTGTAATTTGACACCAACATAATTGTTACATAAAAAAAATAATGTAACATGATTACTGACAACAAATGTGACTAATTTTCATTGCAAAGGGTGTCATTTCTAAAAATAGAATTTCACATGCCTTTCAGTAATAGGTATAAAACCACTAATTCATAGCCCCATTGCTTTCTATGTTAAATTCTGCAATTTCAAGCATTAATGGCTAATTTGTCTTAAGTTCAAATAAAGTAGCAGTTATTTCATGTCAAAACTATACCTTATCCTGACTTGTGCTGAAAAATTCAACATACCTTTAATTGCATTTTAGAGCGTACTGGTTCCCGGAAGTTTGATAGTACAAAAACAGGTACTTCTGATCTGAACAACAGGGCAAATGTGCCCTCCTATTAAAATTGTATATATTTCTTTATTATTCAAAAGAAACTTTCAACACGGGTTCTACAGTGATCCCAAGTCCCCAAGCTTTCATTTGATACCAAAACTACCCAAATATTCCACCTATTGACAAAGATACAGCTATGCGTAGGAACTATTTTGTTTAAAATATGTACTACTTTCTTGTATGTTCTTTCCGACCGGGCCTTAATTAGTGGTTCTATACCTTATTGCAAATAGATTATATGGACATAGGACAGCATGTGCCAAACCCAAACTTTAACATGATACAAGATAGACAAACAGACAAACTAACTGATGAAAGATTTTAGATAGGTCATAAAAAAAATACAAATTACTGTTTATAAGTTTATTTAGAAAAATTGTAAAAAAAATAAGCATTAAAACATGGACTGAAATATAAATCCTAATAACATGAATAATAAACAATGCTTTAGTCATATAATTTCAGCATATACAAATGGTACATAAATAAATGTTCATCTTTTCTCATAAATCTTTATTGCATAGATCTTATCACTATTTGAAATTCTGCAATATTTGACTCAGTATTTTGCAACAGTTGACCTATTGACTGTATATAAAAAATAACTTTTGGTTTGTGGTGTAAGACATTTTATCTTGTGATGTTAAAATTTTAAGGGAATGTCTGTGGTATCCTGTAATGAGGGTCTGGATGGGGTTTACAGAATAGAGAATAATGGGCCAATACTACAGACTTGGACCTTTATTGTTACATTTTGATAATTGGAATCTAAATAATGCACTTGGCAAATTTAGCCAAATTGGCTAACCATGACAAATGGCAGAAAATATGGACTCCCACTAAAAAATAAAGAAGGCATGGTAGAAAGGATAAAATTGAGAATGGAAATGGGGAATGTGTCAAAGAGACAACAACCCGACCACAGAACAGACAACAGCAGAAGGCCACCAACAGGTCTTCAATGCAGCGAGAAATTCCCGCACCCGGAGGCGTCCTTCAGCTGGCCCCTAAACAAATATATATACTAGTTCAGTGATAATGAACGTCATACTAAACTCCAAATTGTACACAAGAAACTAAAATTAAAAATAATACAAGACTAACAAAGGCTAGAGGCTCCTGACTTGGGACAGGCGCAAAAATGCGGCGGGGTTAAACATGTTTATGAGATCTCAACCCTCCCCCTATACCTCTAGCCAATGGTAGAAAGGGCATACATTTTACCTATGATTGAGCAGATTTATTTACAAGATTTAGGAAATGGCACAAATTAATTAGGACAGTGCAAGAAACACTGAGGGATTACAATAATGAGAAAAAACAGACAAGGACAGATATATCTAACATATTATTAAAACTAAAAATTTAGTAGTATGGAAAATGAAAAGGCCTTAATTTTTACTTCTTGGCCAAGATTTAAACAGATGAAGACTGATGCAGACATATATTTTAAAGATTATTAAAGCTACAAATTAATGCAGTATCATAAATTAATAGTCCTTGAAAATATACGAGGATGCTCATACATGTAAAAAACATGAAAACCCATAATATTTAAGAGTAATATCAGGTTTACAAATTTACAAAGAAAAGTTATTCCAATTAATAGTTAATGAAAAAAATATTAAGACACACTTTCAGTGGTTCATTGCAAATAACAGAAAATTGAAAGTTTTTATCGTGTTAATGAAATGAAGAAAGGAAAATAATACTACTAATACAGAAACAAGAAAACATTGAACAGATCTAGACTTTTCAAAAAAAAAATTTCCTATTTTCAAATTATAGCTTTCTAAAATAAACAACATTTGCAATACTTTTTTTTTTGTATCCCACTTTTGCACACAGACAAAAATGACAATATTAACAGTCAAGGGTATAACTTAAACAAGTTATTACAGAAAATACTAGGCATACTGTGAAATCATACGAGATCTAAACAACAATACAAACAGCGGTAAATTTTAAAATATCTGACTCAATTTGCATTTCACCATGTTCAGGAGACGAAAATGTCTGTGATAACTGAAAGGCGTAATAACAGACATTGTTTCTTTGTAAAATAACGGACCGAGCAATTTCAACACAATTCATGAAAGGAGGAGATAACTCTGTCAGAATTCACACACTAACAGTACATGTATGCCTGTTATTTTCTGTGATAACTTGTTCAAGTTATACACTTGACTGATTAACACGCATCAAAATAATGTATAGTAAATTTTCATACTTTCTGGACAATAAACTATTTTTATATTACCAACTTTTGACTCCTGCATATATAATTTATTTATAGGTTAAATACTCTGATGTGGGACATTCTGGTACTCTGTCAAGTAAGAGCAATTAAAAGAAGTAAAATAAAGCTTACAATCAGTGCAATTTGGGGAATTTTTTTTAATTGTTTTTTTATATTATTTTCACAACAATTTTTTCCCTAAAATGAACTGATTGTAAGCTTGATTTTATTTCTTTTTGTTGCGCTTACTTGACCTGAGTCCAGAATGTCCTACCACAGACTAGGCAACCTGTCGAATTATTATGTATTCCGGAGTCAGAAGTCGGTAATATGAAAATAGTCTATTATAAGTGATTCATTCTGAGATATAAGTATTGCTCCAATCTAGGATTTTTATGTATTATTTTTTTAAATCTTAATCACATACAACAAGGAATAGCAAAAAATAAATGATTAGCAAAACAACAAATAAACAACTCAATTCAGGCAAAATGCAGAAACTTAAATAATCTGACACCAATTATCTAAGTAAGCAAATTAATCTTCCTAAATAATCTTAAAATCAGAATACTGCAAATTCAGAAATTATTTTGTGCATTTATTATTGCAATTTTGAAGAAAGGACAAAAATGCAAGATTCTATACTATTAAATGAGAAGACCTCATTTTGTGTGTCACTTCTCTTCCTTCCATAATAAATTAATCATCATGCCTCTGTGTCCTATAGGTACCATTTTAGTCGCATTTATCATCCTCGCTTATGATTATTCAGTTTGGGTTATTTTTGGAGGAAAACGAAAATAAAGGCGTCCGGATATTGTTTCCATCATCGGACAGACTTTTAAGTCATAGATAAGATTTCCTTTAGGTTAGGACTGTTTTAAAATTACACATAATTTTCATAAGTACTTAGGGAAAGGACAATTATTTTCGTGTTTTTCTGTATACTATGATCATACATATAATATAAATAAAGTGTATTTGCTTTATATTTACTATCAATTCAAATATAATACATCAGTGACCGCCGTGAATAGTAAACTTGGAATTGATAGTAAATAGCAAGTACACTTTATTTATAGTATATGTATGTTCATAGTATACAGAAAAACAGAAAACAAAAAATAATGGACTTTGCAAAAAAAGGGGGAGGGCTAAAAAAAATTGTCCTGTCACCAAGTATCTATGACTTTTAATACCGTTCCTGAAATTCTCCAGTCATAAAATCGTTAACAAAAATTCATCCTACAACAGTTTACATACTTTCAACCACGCTCTAAATGCCCGCTATTTCGCGGGTGTGTTCTAGTAATTATTGAAATTTCAGGAAAATCTGCATAGAGTGATATGTATCAGATCTCCAAATGCGAGTTCTCATATTGTGATTATCACCCAGTAGCATTATTTGCAATAATAATGATTTCTGAATTTACAGTAAGCAAAATGCAGATCTTATTAAATAAGAGATCATATAGGAAATGTACTACCATGATCATAATGATAATCTCAAAATAAGAATTGGCAAAATGCACTTACAGATCTTGTATATATATCTTATATTTCTTATGCAAAGATATAAGAAATTAAGATAAAACAAAAATATTATAACAAATAAAAAGGAATAAAAATCAAAAAGCAGTTTGACATTAAAAAAAAATCCAAAATATAAAAATTATGGGTTAGTAATCATAGTTACAACCAACTGTGTATTTTAATGCATACAGTAGTTACCATTTTTCAAATGATTTATTGTGAAACAGATATATACAAACAAAAATGTTATATTAGCATTATTCTTAATAAACAATACATTGTATTAGCATATAAACTTTGGTCTCAAAATACATTACTTGTCCTTTGATTTCCATTATTTATTTTTATTATCTATTAATACTCTGTATATTGAAGATATGCCTAATTTGCAATACCTTTGAGCGAATTACAGGACAATGAAATAAAACAAATAACATTGTATAACATTTGAGATGACAATATTATTAAATTGCACCTCTGACACTATCAGTGTTTAGAAACACATTAACTAAATAAAGAGCTGTGACAGAAACAATAGATTCAACCTTCATATGCATATTGAAATTATTCCAAATATAAAATGGATCATTGTAAGTGCCATAAAATCAAAAGTCAGTAAAATGACCTTGCAGAAAAACTTGCATGAGATAGTTAAAGGTCCAATAACTCTAGAAAAGCATATCTAACATTTAAAAAAAAACAGGAAGCAGCTTCTTTTGACAATCCCAACAACATTAAAAAGTTAGAAGTATATGATCAAAGCATACTAAAGTTAGTGCAAGACATGTTAAAATATTGTCTTAAATCTTACAATCAAAGGAAAGAAATTCCCATAACTCTAGATCTAGATTTTGAATGAGAAATTGGAAAACTTCAAAACTGATCATTGCTGATAGGTAGCTTACTTTAACCAATCCCAACAATAGTCTTACAAGTTAAACGTTAGAGAACATGATGTGAAAAATTTACGAAAATTTGATGCCTCATCAAAATCCCCTAACTCTGGATTGAAAATCAAATTTTTTTCAAAATCAACAGGTAGCCAACTTAAACGATCCAAATAACAGCCTAAATCAATCCAAGCCTCAAGTTAGGGTGTGATATGTGACAAATGGCAATGACGGTTAAGTCCTAGAACAACCTAAAACAATTTCAAAATCGAAAGGTTGTTTTCTTCCACACAAGTTTCATAAAACTTGATCAGTTATTCTTTATCTTTTGAAGGATGTGTGGACAGACTGACTGACAAACAGACAGACAAGGGTATACAATAATGCATGTATGTCCCCTCCATGATGGGCATATAAAAAAATCCTTATTTGTATATACATGTACATGATGCATATCTAATCACTGATGAACTATAGTTGACCCTGTATCTAAACAGTTCATTATCTCCCCATTTATCTCCGTTTTTGAAACAATCAAAATTACGTTTCCAGGAAAAAATGGCAGTCAAATGGTGAAGAAATATTTCCGTACTGCATAATTTCTATAGTAAAAGGAGGTGTTCACAATGCAAAGACCTGTGTATATTTATGAAAATGCTGAAAAGTGTTATTTTTATGTGATGGCTACAAAATTAGTGATAGATTTTAAAATACTTTACTACTGTGTAGTATGAACCATGCTGTTTCCAAAATATTGTAATAAAAAAGGGTATATCATGTATATCATGGAGCTTCCAGTCAAGTCATTTAATAACGAGACACACATATATCATGTATATGAAAAGGAGAAAAAAATAATACTGAATGTCTAAATATACATTTGTTTCTTTTAAAACAAAAATCATATTTTTTTAAGTTATTTTCATATAATTGAAAAAGCATGCATATAAATTATTTTCTTTTTATTTAAGTTTGAGTTGACAATTTTAGCATGTTTAGTAAAAACATTTACCAATTTTGAAATTTCAACTTGGCAGTTACAATTTTAAATCCCTATTTTTTAGATCCTATATCCTGCTGAAAATCACAGATAATATTTTTAATATATTGGGAATGGGTATTCATGGGAAGAGAGTAATACAACCTTTCAAAATAGTATTCAACTTTCTGGTACCCCATCTCCAGTTTCATTTCTGTTCCGAAAACACACGGTTTAAACTTAATATGCCAAACCAAACTCACAACAATATATTTCATTCTATGCAGATCTTATGATTTACTTTCTGTTTCCATCCATTAAAACACTTACTGGAATCAGAAATCCTCTTCAAATTTTCACAATGAGGATGAGAACCATTCACTCCATGTCCAATCATCTGAGTAGTATAATCTCCATATGTAAAATATATTTACCACAATAATCTGTATTACCCTGCTAAATACTATATCTTTAGGATAGAAGTCACTGATATATGTAAACGGCCATGCTGACACTGTAGAAACTCCACGGGTTTCGTAAAAAAGATTAACAGTCATTTGAGTAAACATGAATATTACTGAAAGTTTTATAGTCAATGGAGATCTGTAGAGTTGAGATAATTTTTCTTCATCAAAATCTTCAAATATATCTTCATCCTACAAATAAAAATCATGTTGAAATTTAATGCATTCTGGATAATATTTTCATAAGTGTGAGTTGCTAACAATATCCTGAACAAAAAGTGACATATAACCAATGATATGATGTTTTTTTTTTCATCTAAGGTTACACACAATGAAAATACCTATAGTCCTTTATGATTCTAAAATACGAAATTGTTTTCTTCAAAATTAATATTAAGAGGTACATGTGTACCTATTTCCATAATATTTAAAGATGCCTTGCTTTGATTAAATTCTTTGATTAAATTCTGATCAACAAAAATATGTACAAAACATGAAACATTTATTACTGTTTCTGTACCAAGTCAGGAATATGGCAGTTCTTTTCCATTATTTCGGTTGATTGTTATACTGTATATGTACTTTTATTCATGGTTACTTATTTCTGTGAATTTGGTAAGAAAATATCAAAACATTAATAACTGACTTATTATTTTAAAATGTTCATTAATTTAGTCTTTATTTGCTTAACAATTATATGAAAAAAAAATAATCAAAGATTATTCAATCATCAAATTAGTCGTCTTTTCATTTGGTTTGGGAAAGTCCAAAAACAATTTGGATAAAAAAACAAAACAGGAGGTGCATAATAACACTATATGGTTAAGACTGTGAGAAAGTTTCAATAAATGAAAATAGGTTTAGGAGGAGTTGTCAATACATAATGGGTACCCCAAAAAAAGCAATAGCAAAGTTCATGCTTTGGTAATTGAAACCCCAAAAAGATTCAGATAAATAATCATAATAGGATGTGCACATAATTATGTAGGGTTAAGATTGTTAGAAAGTTGCAATAAAGGATTTAGGAGGAGTTGTTGATACTAAATGTGTAAGGTGCAGAAATTACTAAGTCAATGTCATCCCAAAGTCAATCCCAAAAGTCATTCAGATGAAGGAATGAAATAGGTGCAAAACTACATTATGTGATCAAGATTCTGTGAAAGTTTCACATAATTCTGTTAATCAGTACAGGAGCAGTTGCTGAAACAAAAGTTGGACACAAGAGAAGAACAGACGGATGGAAAGTCCAACAAACTGACTCCCCCATCAATATTTACCATTCCTTTAGAAAGAGGGGTTATGATAATAAGAAAAATCTTCACTCTCAAAATGAATTTCAATTACAAGGAAATGAGATCATTTTTTTGAAATTTGGATTGTCTCCCCTAGACTAGCCATGACATATTGTTTTGGTTTTAACACATGACTCTTAAATCTACTTTAACATGCATGATCTCAATTTTATGTTTCAATGTTCATATTTCTTTAAAATTCAATTGTTTTCCTCCTATACTATATTTGTTAAATTCGATGAAATATGATCCAAAAAACTATAACTCAATATCAACTTATTTCAACTGCAAATACTGTCTTTTCCATTACTCTGGCAATAGAACAAACATGGGACACACAGAAGACAACCTGAATATGCCACTATGGGTAGGTGTGACAACATCTTTGAATGTATGCAGATCTCTAAAATTGCTTCTATGGGCGGTAACTTTATTTTCAAAGTGCCTTCCCTGGGTACCATGTAATATTTTTTTTATGGAACAGCCCTCATTATCAAATTAGAATAAACAAATCTTTTCAACCAGGATTAAACAGTAGAACATATACTAGACTTAAATTGCTGGATACATATTTTTTGCATCAAAGAAAATAATCATTACAAAATCCCTGCATTAATATTGTATTAACATTCACAACTTTAGCTGTGTTACGATTGCCAATGAGACCAAAGGACAAGGATGTACACATTAATAGCGCACAATGCAGTATTCAATAATGAGCAAAACACTTACTGTGTAGAAGGCTATAAGTATACAATATTAGGTTAATGTCAGAAAAATATAAACTTTTTTGTACGAGGCTAAGAAACTTTGGAAAGGCGAGGTTCTACTGAGCCCTTCCCCAGTTTTGTGCCGAATACAAAAAAGTTTATATTTTTATGACATTGACCTAATATTGTTTTTATACTGCAACTTAAATTATTACATTGATAGCTATTTAAAATTTTAACACAAATTTCAAACTTATTTTCATCCCTTAACGAACCCCTGACTGTGGAAAAAGTGATCCATGATGAAATTGACATTGCACAAAATATAGCTGTGTTACTATATTTAGAAAATAAACACAACTAGTTGCAGTATAAAATACTCAATCATGACTAAATGTGATACAATTCAAACAAGAAAACCACCGGCCTGTTTTATGATAAAACATTATTTGAAAAAAAACATATAGCAGACATCAACAAAAGACAAAAAATAAATTACAGGCTCCTAACTTTGGACAGGTATATATGGTGCATAAAAAATAGAGGGGTTACACATGTTTACCTTACTGTAAATCACTGGTAATGTCTAAAGACACATAGCTTATAAGAATTTACAGAATAAATATTTTTGATTTGCAACAATTTGTATATGTCACATATATATAACAAACCTTGTTTTGTGATTATGATCATTTTCAGTGCTGCTTTTATGTATGGAAACAGATGTTATGAGTTATGATGTTGTTTTTTTACAAGTGCTGTTATATATATTAAACATATAAATAAAATACACTTACTTCATTAACAAATTTATCATATACTTTTTCTATTATATATAATATACTGTATAATCTTATTCCTAGAGTAACCAAGAAAAATGGTCGTAAAAACTTCATCAGAAATTCTAAAGCAAGGCCTGCATTATCTGAAATAAAAGAATATTATCAAAACATTTTTGTTTACAAGGTTAGAAAATAAGCCCATGCAAAATTGATATTTGGCTTTCTGGACCCTGTTTTTAATTGAGAAAGTGAAGCCTGATTTAAATTTCATGACGCCTGAGGCTAACCTGACCCATGATTGGAGTACTGGAAAGAGAGGTTTAATTTAATCACCTTAACATGCCTGTCTCAAATCAGGAAATTATATGCTTGTCATCTGTTGATGGAGTTTTGTCCATCTGAAAGAGTTGTACAGATTTTTTTCGTGTTGAGTTAATGGATGAAAAGAATAATTACCATGTTTGCTCATGTATCTCTCTATTGTTAATGTTTTTAACTGTTAATTTGACTTTGAGATTTCAAAAATTTGGCTGAAAAAGGCAGACAGGCAATTAAAATGTTAATAATTAAATAATAGTAATAGAAATAACACACAAAAGTTAGGAGTAAAAGAGAGAAAAAGAAGAAATTGATACACCACTTGGACTCCCTCATGGTATAGAAATCATGCAGTCTTTATTAAACCTAGTATGGATAGATAAGATAGGCATGTTTAGTAAAACTAGAGGCTCCAAGGAGCCTGTGTCGCTCACCTGATATTTTTATTTACAATTGAGCATGAAATAATGCAACCTTTATACATTTGCTTTAGTTTCAGAGATATAAGTCAAAAACTGCATTTTCCCCCTAAGTTCTATTTTCAGCCATATCTGACATGTGGGTTGGCAGGCAGGGTCATCGGACCCAATTTTTAAACTAGATACCCTAGTGATGATTGTGGCCAAGTTTGGTTAAATTTGGCCGAGTAGTTTCAGAAGAGAAGATTTTTGTAAAAGATTACAAAAATTTACGAAAAATTGTTAAAAATTGACTATAAAGGGCAATAACTCCTTAAAACAACACTTCGAAACACACTGTTTTTGGTTACTTTCATCAGAAAAGTGTGGCTAGTATTCCCAAAAACAAACCTTGTTTTAACTTTATGACAAGCAACAGCAAAGATAAATTTGAATCAAACCAATGGTTTAATATTGCAAACAGGATCATATATATTGATATTGATTAAAAGCTTTGGAATAAACAGTAAAAAATTAATTGCAGTGAAATAAGGACTAACAAGTATGAGAAATACTGTTGTGCAGATTATTATATTTAAAAAAAAATTTCCCTGCTTATAAATATGACTCTAAAGAAACTGGTTCCAACTCCCTCAGGTAAAGTCAACAGCTAAATTTGGCTTTTTCTTTTTAGACCGGTTTTGGTTATAAAGCTCCTAAAGTTTCTACAAATATATACATCCACGGCTTTGAAATGTTTGGCTTTGAGTTTTCTTGAAGAAGGTTAATCCAGAAAAGCATTTCAAATTATAAAGTTATTTTGTTGATTCATTGTACTGATGTACCAACTTATAAAGATTTCATTTGGAAGTTTGGCTGTACCTGTAGAAGTCTCATTACAAACCAGATAGCACATCCTAATTTTTATGGTGATGTTCTTTACCGAGCCTGTAAATTTAGATACAATCCAGGTAAACTTATCGATCCTTTAAATAAACTTGTTCTTAAAGGTTACCAATTCATACCTGTAATTAGATTTTCAAGGGGCATTAGTTACAAGATATATAAAAAAATAAAATATGATTTTTGTTTGTTCAGTCATTAATGAAAGTGAAATAGTGAAATAATTTATTCGCCTTTAGCAGCCAGTTTGGTTCAATTTTTTGGCAAAATAAGCAACGAAACATTGCTGATGAACTATTCACTTGTGAGTGAATAATTCAACCTCATTGAACCCTTATTCATGTGACCTTCTATTTAACCCTTTAGCTAGAGATGGGTTACGCATGAACTAGGCGTGTTCAGCTATTAAAAGGAAAAGCATGTCAACAATGAAAGTGAAACAAGGGTAAACCATTTGGTTGACTGATTTGATCCACAAAAACTCATTCTTATACAGTAAAAAACGATGATTAACATATTTTTTTAACCTATGATATGAAATCAAACAGACCGTGAAAAATCCAATTGCATGTGTTCGCAATCTATTTATATCTATATCTATGTTTATATATTAGGTTATATGACCATCGGCAGTCTTCGGAGGTCACCTCAATGATTAACATGATTAATTAGATGGCGTCTAGACTAAAATACTCACGAAATGGGGATACATAGTATCGAGTCCATGCATTGTTAATTGTTCATTTTAGACTTTTTGTAAGTTGGATATACATTTTAGTAGGTTATAAATCAAATATGAGAATTTGAGTCAAATCAAAGTACATGAATTTGACAGCTAATGCCCCTTTAAAATATTGTTTTTATCAGTATAAATATTGATTTTGTAATCAGTAAATTAAAACCAAACTAAATATTATTGTTATATACATATGTACATTCATGATTCTACAATCTGTCGATACCTGTATCTTGGCATTACACAAGGTCATGTTTTTCTCTGACTTTAATAATGTCTTTAGACTAAATTCATTGGATGTTGGATGTGTACTGATTGATATTTTAGTCTTAGAAACATAATTTTTTATTATGGTAGTCAGGAATGGGGTAATCGTAATCAGTAACCGTAATCAGCTGTAATCGATTACATTTTGCAATGTGATCCCATGTAATCAGTAATCATTCAATTTCTGATTACAAGTAATTGCAGATACTGAAAGCTAGTTCAAAGCCAATCACAACTACAGTTACACCCCTGTCCAAGGTTAGAGGGAGGGTCTGGCACCAGCAAACATGTTTAACCCAGCCACATTATGTATGTGCCTATCCCAAGTCAGGAGCCTGTAATTCAGTGGTTGTTATTTGTTGCTGTATATCATATCTGTTTTGTGTTTACTGTTTTGTACACAAATCAGGCAGTAAGTTTCCTCTTTCAAATGGTTTTACATTTGTAATTTCAGGACCTTTTATAGCTTACTATGCGGTATGGGTTTTGATCATTGTTGAAGAACGTAATGACTCCTAGTTGTTAAATTCTATGTCATTTAATCCCTAACATATCTTCTTATTTATATATTATATGTATTTCTGGCACTGGTGTACATACTTTTGATTGTACTAGTTATAGATTTCAACACTGCACTTGCATGAATAAAGGAAATTTGGGATAAATATATCAGTCAGACAACAACTCAACTTCACAAACAAAGAAAAAAATCATTAAAACGAACACCTTCCACAATAGACAGGTCAAGTTCAACTTCATCCCTAGTTTAGAAAAGCAGTAAATAAATTAATTGAAGATCTGCCATCAACACCAAAGTCTTCTAATGTCAAAAATACCATTAGGATATGACATTAGACATAAGACAATTACAAACTAGGTTCCTAACTTGGGACAAGCTCTTAAGATCTCAATCCTCGTACTTCTCATCTCCATAGGTAGACATACAGGCTTTCCAGTTGTACTGATGTAAAGACTTACCCATTGTACTGTTGAGTATATAGAATCCAATACTATATAAAGATTTTCTACTGTCATATCTGAAAAAAAAAGAAAATATTTTTATCAATTTTGTTTGAGTCATTAAAAAAGTAAATATATATAGTCTTCAATGTACAAATAACAACAAAGATAATGAAATAGAATAAAACACAACATTTGAAATAACTTTCACTGCCCTATCTTACAAAGAAACTTTAAAAATCAGTATAGATTATCTTTTATAGACTTTGAAACATTTGAAAAATTCATGCGGTTGTCTCCCTTGGACCATTAGCAAATAAACACCCAGCATGTGTGTTTTTCTTTTAATCAATTTGATTGTAGTAAATGATACATCTTTAAGTAATTTGAAAATTCATTTGGAATATATAAAGTCTGTGGCAATAATTTTCACTGTATTTACATTTGTGAAGATGTTGTGATCAACATGATCAATGTGTACGATTGATTATTTGTTTTCTTATTGTACAGGTACAACATCTACATTGTATATACATTTGCCCTATCCAGTCCTTGTATAACTCACTATGCAGTATGGGTTTTGCTCTTTGTTGAAGGCCGTAGGGTGACATATAGTTGTTAACATCTACGTCATTTGGTCTCTGGTGGAGAGTTGTCTCATTGGCAATTAAACCACATCTTCTTATTTTGTATAAATACATTTTACTTGAAGTAAAATTAAAAATATATTACATGACAATAAATAACATTCAGTGATTTATTTCAAGAATATTCTTCATTTGAATTGCTGTTGATGTGATTCTTTCAAATGTAAAACAAATTTTAAACAAGAATGTGTCCATAGTACATGGATGCCCCACTCGCACTATCATTTTATATGTCCAGTGGACCGTGAAATTGGGGTCAAATCTCTAATCTGGCATTAAAATTAGAAAGATCATATCATAGGGAACATGTGTACTAAGTTTCAAGTTGATTGGACTTCAACTTCATCAAAAACTACCTTGACCAAAAACTTGTGGGACAGACGGAAGGACTAATGGACGGACGAACTGACGCAAAGACCGTAAAACATAATACCCCTAGGTGGGGCATTAAAATATATAAAGGGGAGATAACTGTTATTGACTTACTGTAGCCATGTATCTGGTGTACGTAGTGGATGGTTTATCAACGATGTCTCTTCCTTCATAGCATACAATACTGATATAGAACATAGTGTTGAAAAGGCAACATCACACAGAAATCCTAAAATTAAATAAATAACAAACACATAGAAATTCCCAGATATTTTCTGTCAGACAATTAATCTCTAAGAAAAATATTTTCTTCAAACCACCAAAAATTGGGTACCCTAAAAAATACATTAAACCACAGTAGGCTGTTTCATTCTTTTTCAACAATTTTTTGAATGAATGTATGATCTGGTAAGTTCCTCATTTATTGTTTTTGTTATTAACTTTGCAAAATTAAAGTGGTGAGAATGATTATTTAAGGGTATGTAACGTTTTATACATTTTTTTGTAACCACTATGTCATTGTATTGATTCTTGATGTACCCTTTTCTTTTAAAATTTTAAAAAAGCTAGTGTTCACAACATCATTTTTCTTGATACCATTTTGTGCCTGTACCAATTGTTGTTTGTTGTTGTTTTTTTCTTTGTAACTTTTTATCAGGAGCCAGATGTTAGTAATTGAGGTCTGTTGTCATGATCCAGTATTTTTTTCATTCCTGTAATACTTTTCATGCATTTTTATTAAAACATAAATTGAAAGCAGTCATTGATAACAAAAACTTCACCTAGAATAATAAGAAATGAGGCATATAGGTTTTTTTTAGTTTAGAATTGCTCTGAACTACCAAAGTTTTAAATATTCAAGTTCATTTAAGACCTGTGGATGACTGTCTAGATGAAGCGCTGTGACAAAAAAAAAAAAAGGAAAGAAAAACTGCTATCTTGACTCAAGATGTTTCATTTTTTTTAATTGAATAATAAAGAGATGTGGTATTATCAACAATGAGACAACTATCCACCAGTTCAAATTGATGTGGATATAAATAGCTACAGATCACTGTAAAATTACTATGCATCCTATTTATTAGAAATAAACTGTTACCACAGAGATATGTCTGGCCTTTTTGTAATTTTGATAATGCAAATGTTGAAATTAAAATAGCAATACTTTAACATGTAAGTTATGCAAATATTCAAAGTCGATGAACCATGACTGAAGGTACATGGCTAAACAATCTCCATGGAATGAGATGTGCCAATGCTAATACAACTGCATACCAAATACCATTGACTCATTATAAGTCGTTCCCTTTAAACAAATCTAAACACAAACATTAACTTGTAAACTATGTAAAAGTTTCAAAGTCAATGAACCATGATCAGGGGTGGGGCTATATAATCTCCATGGAAACGATACTTGCAAATGCCAATAAATTTGCATACCAAATATCATTGACTTAATATTAGCAGTTCATCTTAAACTGATCTAATCTCAAACTAATACATGTAAACTAAGCAAAAGTTTCAAAGTAAATAGACCATGAATGAGGGGGCGGGGCCAAATATTCTCCATGGAAATGAGATGTGCTAATATTTATACAACTGAACACCAATTAACATTGGCCTACCACTAATGGTTCCCCTTGAACTGACCTAATCACAAACTAATACATGTTAACTTAACAAAATTTTCAAAGTCTATAGACCATGACTAAGGGGGCGGAGCCAAATAATCTCCATGGAAATGAGATATGCCAATGCTTATACAACTGCATACCAAATATCATTGACCTACCATTAGTGGTTCCCCATGAATTGACCTAATCACAAACTAATACATGTAAACTATGAAAATATGAAAAGTTTCAAAGTCAATAGACCTTGACTGAGGGGGCGGGGCCAAATAATCTCCATGGTAATGAGATGTGCCAATGCTAATACAACTGCATACCAAATATCATTGACCTACCACTAGTGTTTCACCATGAACTAGACCTAATCACAAACTAATACATTGTTGACGCCGCCGTCGCTGAAGCCGGAAACAGCATACCTATGTCTCGCTTTTTGACTCCGTCAAGGCGAAACAAAAACTTAGGGTTGTAGCTAAATAAATTATTCTTCAAAGTGATAAGAAACAATTGTTGAGAGGGGGAAGTACCTTTTCAGGGATTGAGACGTTTAATTCTGGAAAATTTGGGAAAAGCCAGTTAAATTGTTGGGAAGTTTGAAAATCAGGATTTCATTATACATTATACATTATGAAGTGGGAATATTTTCAAGGCAGTTCTGGATTTGGCATTTATTTTCTCAGGGATAAGGGATAAGACCCCCTTCTCCCCCGTCGTACTGTTTTTGTCTTAAATTCCCACATTGACTAGAATTATATACCTTCTTGTGACATCCACATCATGTTGTGCATTGTCAGACAGAGAATCAAAACAACAAATAACAACCTGGAAGTAGACAAAAACTTACTTCTTAATCAAAAGAAAATAAACATAAAAGTATACATTGTACATAAAATTACTTTTAGATTAACAGAAAACATGTATGAATTAGAAAAAAAATACTTCTTCTCAACATATTCATGCAGTACACATAACCAGATTAAGTCAAAAATCATTTTTTTTCTAGTGTGGAGTAATCACTGTGAATCACGGTGACTTTGATATTCTTTTTATTAAATATGTAGAGATTTATTTCAACATGTTTATAGTGAATCACTTTATTCTCGGGCATTGACTAATTTTTGACTGAACCACCTTGTGTGTACTGTAAAGGCATGATTCAAACATAATGCCAGCCAAATTTTTAAAACACTTGGCATTTTTTTTTTTTATCATTTCACTTCCTTCAAGTTTAATGGTTATTCAGAGAACTATCAGTGCCACACTTAGACATGTATAACAAACTTTGTTTTTAACTATAATAAAGCTCAGATCAGGAGTCAATAATCTTTTGTCAGGTGACATTTAACTCATGTAGGTGTGGTCCCCTACACATATGTTAGACCCACTGTCTCAGGACAGAGGACATATATATCATAATTGACGGATTTAAAAGATAAATACAACATATAGATATTTCAAATTTTTAACATTTTAAATAACTTAAAAACAGTAAAAAGTTTCACCTGTGTTATTTTACAAACTTTAACAATTTTTGATACAGTTGACACCAACTGTATGCTTTAGTTTTGCTTCCCTGATTTTCATTGGAGGCAAGACAAGAACTCCATTGCAATGAATGTACGATAATGTTTCCCTTAATATGGTATTATCTTACTTATTCAAAGTACACTTACAGCATTTGACCTTTGGTACCTTCCAGATAAATGTCCCATGAAGCTGAAGCTGTCAGTGCATAACACAAGGAAGAAAAACCTATTGTCAGGATCTACAAAAAAAAAAGTAATTATTAACTTCAGGTAAACAGAGACAAAATGAAAAATCTTAATAATAAATAAAGCGATACTGGGTGAATATAAATGTGTTAACTTATTTTGAGATTTATTACATTACAACAAGATCTAAAATTATGTGTTTCTATCAAAAGATGAATAGCTTTGCTCTAAAACTGAATTTGGCATTCCAATAAATCCCCCCTCCCTTCCCCAATGTCTGGTATGTTTCAGTTGGTTATTTTGTGTATTTACATCTTAACAGTGTACCTGAATCATGGATATCAATGAGAGATGAAACTTTGACTAATATAACCATAATAGTCAAGTTGAAACCAAGTAAAATCTAACCAAGATGGATTATGTTTGATGTTATTCGGGTATGTAACAAGTAAACGACAACACACCATCATGATCTGCCAACTTCGTATTCCAACTTTTTTTGTAAAACTCGAACTTATCTTCGTAAATAAAATTAAGACCTGACATTTTGTATCGTAAATCTAAACTAGAAATACTGAAAGTGTTAACCCAAAGAACAGAAATTCTTTACACAAAACTATATTTCCAGGTGAAAGGTCATATTGTGCAGTTGTGTCATCTAGCATGATTGAGTTTACGGATTTGTGTGTAAAGCAATTAAATAACCATGTCAACTTTTGACAAGTGTTGTATGTAATTAGTATAGAAAATTAATCTGAAAGAAGATTTAATTAAGCAAATAAACAGATCTTTTGAAGACTTTCCAAAAAGATTAAGTACATCTCTTTAAAGTTCCTTTTCAACAAATATTCATAAATTTTATACTAATTATCAATCTTTTTAACAACAATGCTTACTTTCTTGCCAGTTTTCGTCATTGTTTGTCGCGGACCCACAACTTGTCAAAAGCTGTTGCAGTTCATATAAGGGAACTAAACTATTTTCACAATATTGGGGGGTGAAGAGGGGTGAAGGTTATAGACAAATGCAGACAATACACAGCCTTATACAGTAATAGATCTTGTTGCGCTGATCGTTTTTGCAATTTACACTTTCAATATTTGTTCCTTTATTGTCACGATAAGAGCGAATAACTGAAGAAAAAAAAATTTCAGGGCCAATAACTCAAAAACAGGTCAACAGATTTTTCTGTAATTTTCAGAGTTTAACCTTTAATACCCTTGCCAAAGTGGGGCGTATGTTTGGCTGTGCGGGATGTATAAATATGCAGCCCCATCCACTCAGAATTTGGATGCTAAATCTGATCCCTTGTGCAGAGAGAATGCCATGCTCTCTGGAAATTAATACCCGTTGCAACAACTCTTTAAGAGGTACGTAGGTGGCGTGTTGAAAGGCAAAATTTCTGTCTCTATCAAATTTACCCTCATTTTCCTGTTGCAGTCCAAATTTCCATGACTTTTATCCAAGACGGCCTCTATTACAGGAGCTACCTATTGTATTTATTGTTAATTTGTTTTTGTCCTGGACATGCATGAAATATTTGCCACTTGATGTTAAGCAAACATCAATCAATCAAACCTTTCATTCAGACTGGTGTCACTTTTATTCATGTACAATGTATTCTGATTGGTATAATTTGTATTCATGTATGATATGTAAACAGAAAGTTACAATTTGTATACATGTACAAATGTACAATGGAATGTACTTTATTACAGACTTATTTACCTTCCATAAATTAGAATCATCTTCTTCCATTTTTTCAATCACTCTCTGACTACAATGCATCACAAAGTTTAAGGCCAAAACAATCTCTGCTATCATAAGTGCTGGCTCTGTTACCCATAGTATTTTGTCATAGAGCCATACTAATGGGTAGGGTACCAGATTTATTGGAAGATATATCAATGTCAATACCAACAGGCTTAGATTCAAATAAGGCAATATATAATGCTGAAAAATAATATGAATCATTAAATAAGGATGAAGCTTGTATATACATGATATAGTATAATTTGTATCATTGTAAAGATGTATGGATATCAAAGACAACAACACTCATAACTACCATTAAGTTATAGTTTTAATGGACAACATGTTTTGCCAGTAAGCATGGTAAGTGTGGTGTCTTCAGGAAAAGTATATATGAAATACAACACTGAAGTACAAATTTTGCAATTATTGCGGTAATCCCGAAGTAATGTTACAATAATAATTGTTAAGACGACGTTTTGATTTCACTTTTACTTTATAATTTTTATCAATAACGTCGTCATAACACTCTTTTTTACCCTACCGCACAATCACCACTTCATGTGTTGGTTCACTTAAATAATTACAATTGTAAAGTAAAGCACATAGGCAAAAAAAAAGGAATTGGAAGAAAAACCCCAACAATTTGTATGCATTTAATAATGAGGACCCACTTCTAATCTAAAACGCTAAATTGCCTATCAAAATACATAATGGACTAAATATAAGGAAAATCACTAAAATTCAGTATGGGAAGTCCTAACAGATTTTTTTTAATTTTGAAAGTAGATTGAAAACAAAGTTGAAGTGTACGTCGCCTGAATCCATGAGATTATGAAAATGGTATAGGGAGAATAAACACAGTACGTAGTCTTAGGTACATGTTTAAATAAGATGTGGTATGAGTGCCAATGAGACAACTCTTCATCCAAGTCACAATGTGTAAAAAGTAAACAATTATATGTGAAATTACAGACTTCAACATGGAGCCTTGGCTCAAACCTAACAGCAAGCTATAAAGGGCCCCAAAATGACTTGTGTAAAACAATGTATACAGGAAAACCAACAGTCCTATCTATATAAAAAATTGAGAAACGAGAAAAAGGTGCCTATATTCAGGGTTCTCACTTACGATTTTTTAAGGCGAGTCCAGCATGTCTATGGACTCATCATTTTTGGCCATTGCATGTCCAAAAGTGATAAGATGGAATTTTATTGCTATATTGTTTATTATTCAGTCCCCATGACAAAAAAGAGCAAGAAAATTAATACATCAAGTTTAGATTGATTTTTTTAAACATGTTAAACTTGTGTCATTAAATCATTATATTTGTGCTCAGTCAATACAATATTTTACAATCTTTATGCCTCTTGTGATTCACCAGTTTTGAAAATGATGAGTCCAGACAGATTTTCATGAGTCCAGGACTCATGGACTCGCCTTAGTGAGAAACCCTGCTATATTATGTATTGCACCTTTAGCCACTAGTCTGATGCCGGGCCCAGACAAGTAAAATTTTATTCGGACTAGTAAGTTTTTGCAAAACTTTGTTTAGACACTTAAGAAAAATGTTTGAATATTGGTATTCGGACTAGTAGTCAGAAAACATTTTAGTGCAGACTGTAAAGATGTAAACTGTTGTTTTGAACCAGAATTGCATTAAACTTTTACATCAGGGCATCAAATTGATCATATCATGTCATTATGCTGTATAAATGGAGTCTAGCTTGGTAAAGATAGGAAAGATCTTCTTTGGCTCAGTTGGTTAGAGTCCTGAATTTGAGATCCTGAGATTGGGGAATTACCCCAGGTATTATGTGTCATGAAATCGGGAAATTATGGCCATGCGAAAGGTGAGCCAAACTACCAAAAGGGTCAACTTGATTATGTTTATAGATTGAAATGATTGAAGGAATTAGCAGATCAGGATGCTCATGGGAAACAAAACTCATCACTAACATCAATGATTTCCTAAAAGAGCATGACAAGGGACATCAAATTGACGTAGCCATTTTAGACTTCTCCAATGCCTTCGATACAGTACCACACAACAAATAACTACACAATATGGAATCAAAGGAAACACACACAAATGGCTATCAAACTTCCTGATCGCCAGATCAATGTACACCGTCGTGGTGGAAGGGGAAATATCCGGCAAAACAACAGTTGACTCAGGGGTACCTCAGGGCACCGTCTTAGGACCAATCCTGTTTCTGTGCCACATAAACAACCTGCCAGACAGTGTAACATCATCAGTAGGACTATTTGCAGACTATTGCCTTTTATACAGAACCATTAGAACTGACCAAGATCACCACAAACTTCAATCAAATTTGAAACAACTAGAAATTTGGGCTGACAAATGGGGGATGTGATTAAACGCAAAAAAAAAAGCTATATCAGGGGTTCAAATTAGCGGTGGTCGGAGGTCCGGGACCTATCAGATTTACGGTCAGACTTCAAATTTGGTTATTAGCTGCACCCGACGGACTGCTGATTTTCAAGTTTCAGAAAACATATAATGAATTTCTGTATGAATCACTTTGTTATAACTTGTAAATTGATGTGGTAATGAGTCACGATAAATTAGCTTTGTGCTAAAATTTATTTTTAACTTAGTGATCAACTTCCTGGTTCATTAATAGTACAGCGTGTCAGATGACAATTTTTATGGGTGCTTTGGTCATATTAACGCATGTGGTTGTCAACGTTACTTAACCATGTGTAGCTAACATGGCTAAAGAAAAGAAGTCTGACAAAGAAGCAATGAAAGTTTAAACAAGGATAAAAGATATGATTGTGAGAAACGTAAGGGAAAATTCCAGTCTCATTGGCAGATAGATCGCCCTTGGCTCCAATTTGGAGAAGCTTCGGGAACCATGACCTCTAAATATTGTATAAAATACCCTACCCACTCTGGTAGGCATAGTGCTTTAGTGAGAAGGACACAAAATCTTAAAATTGATCCAATCAAAAGTCAATGTTTGGACCTTTCATCCTAAGGTGTGGACCTTCCACTTTACTGTTGTAAAGGTCCAGGACTTTTCAGTGAAAAATGTTAATTTTAACCCCTGTATATCTTATCCATCAATAAAAAAACAGACAAATTCTATACCCTAAATAAACGCATTTTACAAAAGGTAGAGATACAAATGAACCCATCCTTAGGACACCAAATCTCAAATGACCTACAGTGTTCTCCCCAGAAATTTTGGATAGCACCACATTTGGCGTAAAAAAAAATAAACTGTATTTTTTTTCAATGTCATTTGATGTGTCACAGCGATGCTCTATTTCCTTTATGTTATATACATGTATGTTTATATTGTTCAATTCATAACTGAGAATACAATTAAACTTTAACCATGATAACAGTTGTTTCAGTTTATGTTTTCTATATTCATTTATAGTTACAGAATTATTTTTTTCCTCTTGGGCCAAATAAAAATATATGTATGGTTCCAGTTACCCTACCTACTCAACTAAATGAATGAATGGTTTATTATAGTAAAACCTGTATATATAAAATACTAAATATCTAGCAAAAAAAAAGAATTGGTTTTTATATAAAAAGGGAAAAGAAAGTATCATATAGCAATAAAATTTCAATTAAAAAACTTTTTTCTTTATCATGTCTATGAAATTCATTGTTTCATGGTACTAAATGAATTAGTCCCAGTTGTTTCTTTATATCAAAATGATATATATTTTTAACAAAGTTAAGCTACACGTACTTTAGTCAGTATATTAAAACGATGTATTTTCAAAAAGAATACATTTAGCAAAGATATCTAATAAATAGTCTGTTAATGCGTGTGGAATGCGTAGTTTTCTCTTTCGTGATAATTTTTTTCTGTCTACTGTGCCATTTGTGCATCTGTAGTTATTATCGAAAAAATGCTGAATTTTGCCATATCTGGTCCGGTTCCGATCCGTAGTTTACACAAATATTTCAATGGCGACGGAAGAAAAATTTACGAAAATAAACAATGTTTGACAAGAGATTGGGAATGAATATGACGCTTTTAATGCATTAAATGGATGAAACATTAACTAAAGCCAATTATGATCTCTTTCTAAAGAAGTATTAAACTTATTTAATTCAAAATCAAAATGTTTAATATACGCTCTCGATTAACTAGTAGTACCGGAAATGAAAGAAAGTAATTTTTTAAAAGTTGTAAAAATATACGACCTAACCTCTTTTCTAAAGAGAGAAATCTTTTGTATCTTTGAATTTGGATTATGCAAACGTAGATTTCGAATTGTTTTTTAGATTTTCTGATTACATTTTCTCCATGTCGAAATTTGTGATTGGACCACGTGGTATAGTCATGTCACAAGTGTCAGCTTGGGGTATTCGTATCCATTCAGTTATCACCCAAAGGGCAATTAACACATATTTAATCACTCTAAATTGCCTCTATCGTCCGACTTGGAGGGATTACAATTAAAGGTGATATAATTTTTATGATCACAAGCGGTAATTAGATGAAAAGTTCAAAATTAGGACATGGTTTTGCGATATAGAGACAAGTAAAATAGCATCCTCAAAATAATTATAGCGTTGCGGTGCCGTGACGCTAAACGGCCTGGGGGAGAACACTGACCTAAAATGGAGTATCCACATTAATATATATAACATCAATAAGAAAGCCAATGTCACCTTTGGCTTTCTTAGGAGGAACTTAAAAAATGTACCAGAACTGCAGAAGTGTGTAGAGAAGCAGCATACTGTTGTAGACCTGGAGATCTAGATATAAAGCCAAGGTAGTCTAACTGGTTGATTTAGGGAGTATCTTCTTTGGCTAAATTGGTAAGAGTGCTGCCTTAAGATCCCGAGATTAAGGGTTTGAATCCCACTGGTACCATCCATGGATTTTCACAACATTGGCGCTGCGAGCATCTACTAATGGTACACAAAAGTATATGTAGAATATTGCCTGGCAGTTTGATGTTAGATATATATATGGTCATTAGGTTTGACCAGGTCATAGAATGACAGTGACATGTGCAGGTGACATGCAAGGAACTGGCCAGAGGGTTTTACGGGTGAAAGACTCTGGGTTGTACAGTAGTGGACTTGTGAGCTGCTTGGATGGTTGGTATGCAGCTTGAAAAAAGAAAAGGGAGAAGAGTGTTGTAGACCTGGAGATATAAAGGTAGTCTAACTGGTTGAGTTAGGGAAATATCTTCCTTGGCTCAATTGGTAAGAGCGCTGCCTTTAGATCTTGAGATTGAGGGTTTGAATCCATGGATTTTCACAACAATACATACATGTATCCCTAGTAAGATCTACAAAAGACTACAACATGTACAATGGAATAGGACGCAACCATCTGGAACCCATAAATGAAACGGAATCCATAGGCGGATCCAGGGGGGGGGGGGCCCTGGGGGGCCCGGGCCCCCCCTTTTGTGGGAAAAATTTGGTTGATTATATAGGGAATCACTGAAGCATGACAGGAGCGGGCCCCCCATTAGGTCAATCAGCGAGCCCCCTTTATGAAAAATTCTGGATCCGCCACTGGAATCATCAACAAAACAGAATGTATACAAAACAGTGGCATACAATTCATAAAGAAGAACTACAGGAGTCAATTAGAAACAGGTTCCATCACCAACATAAGACGTCAACTAGACATTGAAACTCTAGAGGAAAGAAGACACAGTCTCCCTCTGATCCTTATAAAAAAGGTGGTTGAGGGACTGGTGCCGGCTCTGACAACCAACAAATTTGTCACACAAGCAAGACCAAAAAGAAGTATCAAAGCCAAAGTATTTACTAACTGTGAAACAGACAATATAATTGAACGACACATAATAGACAATACCCGAGGACTTAAAGCGCCAGACAGCAATATTAACATTCATTTTTGGTGGAAAAAATCGTAAACTGGAACCAAATGCCAGATAAAGTTGTGCATGCAGATTCTGTAGAGCCAGAGTTATTTAACATGTTTAGGACCGTGCTACATGTACAGGAACACCGCCCATAACAACGGCGATCTTCTCCACTGTGCTTAAAAGCCTAAATAGGTTTCTACACATACCCATACAGATACAGAGAAAGAGAACTGCATAAAATATTCATTCTGTGATAGGATTTTTTGTAGGTTCTTACATGCTTACCAAAAAGTTAGGACCATACTGAGTTATCAATGCATACGCATAAAACAGGATTGACACGCGTAAAATAAGGTCAATTCCACAAAATGAACCGTAAACGGGTACCGTGACAACACATATATATGGAAGAACATCCACTAAACATCCTAATAATGGAAAACACATTATTGTTGTCACTCAAACATTCAGCGCTTTTTTACAAAACTACTTCCGGGTTAGTAGTTTTAGAAACGACTTCGGAATAGACCAGTTTCACATACGCTGATCTCGAAATCCTTTGCAGTGCGTTCTAGTTTAATAATCCCGCGATAATTAACGATATCATACGTGACAGGGCCAGTTCACAATATTTTTGTCACGACGAATGTAGCTATTTGATAAGTTGTCACTGACATCATAGATATAATAGCTACTATATCTTTGGCAATTGCTGACATTTAACAATTGTATATTAACAAATTATGTAAATGTATTATGATTGGGACGAATAAATTTATATATTGGTCAAAGATATTAAAAATCTTTTTTTTAAATTTTATATATTCAAATTAAGGGAGTAACCATTTGATTTTTATGGGGGGCTAGGATGAAATTTGAAAAAAATAGGCAGGACAGGAGTTTTGAGTAAAAAAAAAGGCAGGATGAGACACTTGCAAAAAAAATAGTCAGGACGACAATTTAGGTAAAAAAAAGTCAGGATAAACTAAAAAAAAAAAAGGCAGGACTGAATAGAGTGAAAAATAAAAAGGCAGGACAGAGATTACATTAGATTTTGGGTACAGTTTTGCAGCTGGGATTTAAAAAACACCCCCCATTCATATATTGAATAATTGTGAAATCCCCACCTATACATATATTTCACAGCGAAATCATAACCCATTCATATATTTATCAGCTCAAATAGTACCTAAATATATCACAATTGGTCAATTACTACCTATTGATATATTTCCTCGGTAAAATTGCACCCCATTGATATATCTGACGTATCAAAAAAGGGACCCATTCCAGCGGCACATATGTATATACCTTCATATAGGAAGAGACGCCCCGTGACAACTATCCACCAGAGACCAAATGACAGATGAAACGCGGCAACCATAGGTCACCATACGGCCCTCGACAATGAGAAAATCCATATCGAATAATAAGCTATAAAAGGTACCGACACAAAACAGTATTTTGTTAAAAAGAAAACAGCATAAACATCAGAAATACATTTAATATCAGTTCCGTTCCAGTATCAATTCGCTCGTTGTGAGTTACCGTAAACAATTCTCAGTGTTTTCTCAAATATTTTTTTACATCTTCTTGTAACATGTAAAGGGTTACGGCCTACAATTAGGTTTAGTACCTTAGACTCAAATTTTTAACCTTCTTTTAAACAAAAGCCGGTTACTGTTATTGTGACTTTTGAGTGAAATTTTATGGGTACAAGAACCAGTTACCGGCAGTTAAGAATGTTGCTACTAAATAATCGAAATTTCCACTAATGGCATAGTATGGAAGTATAAACGAACATAGATAGAATTTTCTCTTATATTCTTTGCCAAAGATGTAGTATACATGTATACTGTGATATGTTAAAAATATAAAATACACAATGATAGGTCACCGAGTTTGTTTTCAAGCTACCACGTCTGTGAAAATAGGAAACATTTTGTATGGATTATACAGAGAAAAGGCATCATTGTATGAATATTTGAAGGTAAACTGAATGATAGTATTTTAAAATAAAATGTGAAAAGATAGCTCTCATAAAATGCTTTCAGAATACTAAAAGAAAAAATGGGGTCACCATGTGTTTTATCCTGCTACAGCATACATGGCATATAACATGAAATAGAACACTTTCTTGTAAATTTTAATAGACATGTACATTTGTTTCAAATATTTCTGCCTCAGTGATGTTCTTTAGACGGTCATAATAATGAAGTGAGATATAAGGCAGTTTTAAAATACGTATCAGAAATACAGGTTTATCTTCAATTTTCAAACATCAGACTTTTAAACAATGCATTCAATGCCATTTAAATTTCTAGGCTATGTTCATGATCGACCTTGTCTAAGCAGATGTTCAGTGCCAACGGCCAGAATAATTTTCGACATATTTTCAACTTTTGCAAATTCTATATAATGCATATCTTAGCATACTTTGTGTCCAAAATTTTCAAACTTTTATAAAAAAAAAAGGATAGATATAATGACATTTCAAATTAATTTGAAAATTTACAAGATATCATTAAAAGTAATTGAATATCATGTATTTACAACGCTTAACCATAAAATAAGATCAAATTGTTGAATGACCCCCCTCATAAATTATTTAAAAAAAAAAAATATATCCAGTTGCATTAACCGTACTGGCCATGATATCTCAGTGTAAATTAGGTACCAAGGTTAACATTTTTAACATCTATATTAGCTAGGGGATGACCATTTGATTTCCGGGAAGTGGGTTAAAAAATGAATATCCTGATCAAGTAAGAGCTGAAAATAAACAATTTTGCTCAAGGCAGGATGAAAAAGAATAATCTGCAACACAAAATGAAGGAAATAATTGTGTACAAAAGTTGGATAAGTTTCCTTCCAGCTTCCTTCAGAATATCAAATGGTCGTCCCCTTTTCAATTACTGTATCTAGAAAAGGAAACTTTTTTATCAATTGTCACCTGGTGATATTGTACAAGGTAAAACGAGCATTTCACATGGCTAAGGTGTTAATTGACTTCTTAATTTATGACCTTATACCCTATACCGCTGATTTATCTAATTTATTCTACCCGCTAAGTGAACGACTTCAGCGTGAATCCCATGCAAGCACTTCTTCGTGACAATTAAAGTTACAAAGTCAGGCGGCACATCAGATGGTCTGTTATTGCAACCAACAGCACAACAGTAGTCTGTTTTAAAATCTTTTAATGTGTCATTGTTAATGAAGTAATCTCGTCAATATAATTTTTATATTTTGATTCAAATGATGCTCGTGTTGTATGTACATGTAAACTATACATGCTTCTATTTTGACGGACAAAAGTAGGCCTTAAGTAAAGTAGGCCTTAAGTAAAGTAGGCCTAAAGTAATTAAAGTAAAGTAGGCCTAAAATAATTAAAGTAAAATAGGCATAATGTAAAAGTAAAGTAGGTAATTAAAGTAAAGTAAAGTAAATTAAAGTAAAGTAAAGTAAAGCAAAGGTAAAGTAAAGGTAAAGTAAAGTAAAGTAAAGTAAAGTAAAGTAAAGTAAAGTAAAGTAAAGTAAAGTAAAGTGAAGTAAAGTAAAGTAAAGTACATTATTGTATGTCAATAGTTGATTATTTTGTTCTTGAAAGTAAATTATGTCTTTGAAACCTCGTACACCAATTATATCGTTATAAAGTATCCAAATCTGGGTTTGTAGGGTTACTTTTGATATTGTAAATATAGAATGAAAGTAGCAAACAGTGCACCAAATTAAGTGAAGAACTTTATTATATTTTCCTGTTGTCTGAATTACCCGACGGTACATAAATACCCCCACTTTATGTAACACGTCCAGTAAAGATACAGTAGAGGAGGACATATCTTCCTTCAAGTCAGAAGAGGAAAAGTATACGAATGATCTCACTGACTTATTAAAGATATTGTTGAATACAATTAGTATCCACTCTACTTAACTATTTTTAGGGCATATTAAAATGGCCCAACAAGTCTGGTGGACAACGAGTTTAGTACTTTAACGCACAGCAATTGTTATTATTAATACACAATATAATATGTATATAAAAAATCAAATATAATCTTATCATGTCGGAGTTCAACACTTATTTTTCTCTGTCATCAACGATCACGCTGGCCAGAAAAAACAACTAAAACGAGTAATCTCGGTCAAACTACATTTAAAATGCATTTTAAGTATAGTGTAAACAAATCACCAAAGATACCAGACTTATAATTTTGTACGCCAGAAGCTCGTTTCGGCGTCTTCAAAAGACTCACCAAAAGGCTCGAATAAAAAAAGTTAAAATACCGTATATGTAAAATGTCGGAAACTTGTGTCCAAAACCCAATGCTCGAAAGATTTTCTCGAGAGTTATACTTAGGTCAGTATAAATGAAATATGTTTGTGTATATTGATACATATTAAGTTACTATGCATGAAAAAGAAATTCCGTTTGATTATTGTTCAGTCTGATCTCATACATCATGCTTACGTTGGATCAAAGTTGGATACAGGCTGTACCGTTTGTTTGATGTAAACGTTGGCATATCAACGTTTTACCAACGTTGGATAAAGATATCACCGTTGGTTAAATATAGGCGTTGGACTATTAACGTTAAAAGTTTGTGGGTCAACTATGGCATAATTTTATTAGGTACAACACTGCGTTGGTTTTCCAACATCGGTTCTACGTTGTGCAATCATTGGATGCTAATTACAGATGATTAAATTTGTTAGCACTATAATTTTGGGCAAACCTTATATGTTGGTTGATAGTGGGCAATTGATGTGAGGTTCACCGTTGGTTATTGATAGATCTTCTTATAAAGATAAAAATATTTTCTTCAAAGTCAGCTATTAGTTGAGACCTGATGATTCAAAATATTGTCAGTCCCCATACCCGATCACTGTAGGGGAATGGAATCTTTAAGGACTGTAGACTTTGCAATTATATATTGAATTCTTTTATATACTAAATGGTTACAACGTTGCTTCACCGATTTCTCTTAACATTATGCAGAAGTATAGGAAACGTTTGCTTTTATGTATGTTTATTGCTGGATGTTGGTATTATGTTGGTTAGTATTTTATGTTGGTCTTGTCGATATTCTAGTTGACAAATAGTTATGATGATTTGTATTTTTTCGTGGTAACTCGTGTGATATGTTTTTTTAATGAGTATATTAATTCATCTTTATATTAAGGAAACACACAACTGTTACACTGCCAATCGTGTATTTTATTTTGAAGCCAAACAGTTTTGATTTTTAAAATGATTGATAATCAAAAGTATATTCTTTGTAAGATGTTAATCATATAAGAATATACAGTGTTTTTAGTTTTATCTATAATACAATCTACAATATTTGATTTTTAATAGACACTATAACATTTAAATATTCACATTCTTTATCAAACTGCAAAAGTACCAATAATTATAGAATAACTAATCGAAGAATTCAAATAGAGAAAAATATTCAACGAGTGACCGAACAACACATTAATTCACGAATGCGCGTAGCGCATGAGTTAATTATCAGTGTTGTTCGGTCACGAGTTGAATATTTTTTGATATTTGAATTCTTTGATTTGTTATTCTTTTTATTACATTGGCAAATGGCTTTTTTAATGAAATTAATGTAGAAAATGTAAGGAACTATATCCTTTTTCTACGCATTCACAATTTGTTTTGATCCGACGTTATCGACATCTTGACAACGCCTATTGTTGTATGACGTCAGAGAGTGAAATAACCACGTTTATTTCACATGTGAAATTATCGGTTTTTATTTAACTGGGAAATCAATGTAATTCATTGCTACCAATGTAATAATTCGGTTTATCACATATTTGTTACGAATACGTTGGGTTTTGCATATGCAATAACCTCAAAATTGCCCGGGGCAAAAAAGAGGTTATTGGTTATTGTGCCCTGATTCCAAATGACGTGACGTCATTGCGTCCTTAACGACAATGGCGAACAATGACGGTGCTCGTTTCATCGCAGTGGAGGAAAGCGATACGGCAGACTTTGTAGAGGAAATGAAAACGCTAACACAAGGAAAAAAACTGAAAGTGACATTAAAATTCTAAAGGAGTGGTTAAAAAGTGCAGGAGAATTACGCAATCCAGAAGATATTCCAGTTGAAGCGATGAATATGTATCTGGCAAGATTCTACATAGCCGTACGTACAAAAGATAAGAAAGAATATGAGCCAGATTCGCTAAAGTGCATTCAATCATCCATAAATAGATATCTGAATGAAAAAAGCAACATCAGTATTATAAAGGACAAGGAATTTGCTCACTCTCGGGATGTTCTAGGGGCGAAGCGCAAAGCATTGAAAGGGAAAGGACTTGGAAACAAAAAAAGACGTGCAGACCCCTTCACTTCTGATGAAATTGATTCCTTGTTCAACAAAAATCTGCTAGGAATAAGTAAGTTTTAATAATCAAGTATTAATAAAGTATTTAAGATTTATTTTATAGTTAAAACGCAGTTCCCGTTTTATAATGGGATAGTAATTAAAGTCCGTCAAAAGTTTCAGTTATACAATAACTATAGTTGTATTTCTAATATTATGCCTAATTTTTTTTATTATAAATTAAAAAGTGATTTCCAGAGAATCTCCTCTCAATTAATAGAATTTCTTTGAATAAAAGAAAAAAGGTAGTTGTATTTGTATAATGTAAGTAAACTTGAATATAAATTATTCATATTTGGAAGGCCATATATATATACATGTAATTTCGCATAATTTCATATTCAATGTATGTTATTTTAGGTAACCCTGAAGCCTTAACAAACACAATATGGTTAAATAACTGTCTCCATTTTGGAATGAGAAGTAGACAAGAGCATACAGATATGTTATTTGGTGATGTAACCATGAAAGCAACATCTGAAGGAAAGCACTATCTTGAATATTCCGAAAGAATGACAAAAACAAGACAAGGGGAGTCTGGAAATACAAGGTCGTTTGCACCTAAAATGTTTGAAAACCCAGGTAAATACCGTATAGAATTACATCATGATATTTTAATCTTACAAAAACACGTATTTGTAATATCAATTCATATTAACTTACAATAAAACTACTTTGCAGCAATCGGAACAGAACACAAAAAAAGCCGAAATCGTATTCTTAATACATAACAAAACATATATTCTCTGCGATTTACATTTAAGAATATTTGAAAAAAAATGTTATGTTTTGAAAAAAGAAGTTTCTTCTTTTATTTTGTATGTTTAATCATTGGTCTTCTTTGTAGGTGACCCAAGATGTCCTGTAAATGCATTTAAAGAGTTCATGAAAAGACGGCCTGTTGATACTTTGACACCAGACAGTAGGATGTATCTGTCAACACTTCACAATATTACCCCTGACAGCACTCTCCCATCTATTAGAGCATTGTGGTTCAGTAAACAACCACTGGGAAAAAACAAGCTTGGTAACTTGTCAAAAACTATGTCTCTTAAAGCTGGTCTCACAGGCCGTAAAGTTAACCACAGTGCCAGAAAAACAACAGTTACTTCATTATTACATTCTAACGTTGAAGCTACCCAGATAATGCAGTTGACTGGACACCGTAATGTTCAATCTATAAACCAATATAGCTCTGCTTCTCTAGAGCAGCAAGAAAAAATGTCAAACATTTTGAGTGACATCTCTTCTGGTAACCGAGGATCTATAATTAATAATCATGAAAATATCTCTAATCAGCCAAGTACATCCATTCACAATATTGAACAATTAACAGATGATGATTTAACAAATGTAGATGTCGATGCAATGGTTGCTTGTATTGAAAGTTATGAGGAGAATTCTGCTACAATGGCAACTAGTAACAATGCACAACCAACAGTTATAGATTTAGCCCCGATTATGCCAAATTCTCGAGTTTGTGTATTGCCATATTCAAAAATAAGTGGAAATGTTATATTTCATTAAATTGTTATAATTGAACTTTTTTCTCTTTTCTGCAGAACTTAAATATGTGATAAATAGATTATAACATGTCTTTTCCATATTGGCCCTGGTATCATCCCTCGACCCATATCGGCCCTCGGCTAAAGCCTCGAGGCCGATATGGGAGTCTCGGGATGATACCAGGGCCAATATGGAAAAGGGCATGTTATAATCTATACAAATACGCTTTTTATCAATTTGGAGTCTATAAGTTTGTTGGCAAAAAAAATTGAGAATGAAATGGGGAATGTGTCAAAGAGACAACAAACCGACCATAAAGCAGACAACAGCCGAAGGCCACCAATGGGTCTTCAATGCAGCGAAAAACTCCCGCACCCGGAGGCGTCCTTCAGCTGACAATAAATTTCTATGGAGTAAATGATAAAAACTAAATTTGAAAATGTGATGAAACTTTTGTGATAAAATTTTTAAGATTATACCTGTTATATTTCATTAAATTGTTATAATTGAACTTTTTTCTCTTTTCTGCAGAACTTAAATATGTGATAAATAGATTATAACATGTCTTTTCCATATTGGCCCTGGTATCATCCCTCGACCCATATCGACCCTCGGCTAAAGCCTCGAGGCCGATATGGGAGTCTCGGGATGATACCAGGGCCAATATGGAAAAGGGCATGTTATAATCTATACAAATACGCTTTTTATCAATTTGGAGTCTATAAGTATGTTGGCAAAAAAAATTGAGAATGAAATGGGGAATGTGTCAAAGAGACAACAACCCGACCATAAAGCAGACAACAGCCGAAGGCCACCAATGGGTCTTCAATGCAGCGAAAAACTCCCGCACCCGGAGGCGTCCTTCAGCTGGCCCCTAAACAAATATGTATACTAGTTCAGTGATAATGGACGTCATACTAAACTCCAAATTATACACAAGAAACTAAAATTAAAAGTGATACAAGACTAACAAAGGCCAGAGGCTCCTGACTTGGGACAGGCGCAAAAATGCGGCGGGGTTAAACATGTTTTTTGAGATCTCAACCTCCCCCTATACCTCTAGCCAATGTAGAAAAAACAAACGTACAAAGTTTAGTTTTAAAACCTCGGTTTCATTTGAATTTCTTTTCTGCTAACAATCAGCATCCGTAATTTTGTCATTAATTTCGATGTGATCATAAACCTTATATCTAATACATTTAATGATGAAAATAACACTTTGTCATTGTGATTTTCACAAAAAACTTGAAATTAGTTATTTTGGTATAATATATACAATGTACATATGTATTAAAATGTTATATTTCATATATCATATATAGTGAATGAGCTATTATTATCACGTTATTGCACTTTGTATTTTATAGAAACGATGTGTAGAAACAGATTATATAAATATTTTACAAAAAAAAAATATTGAGGAAGTTGTTAAAGATGAAACCTATTATTCCTAACGTTTGTCATCTAATACATGATGCTGATTTCCGTGCATGCGTGCAAAACGTGTTTCTTGATGTCAAAAGTTTGGAAAACCAATGATTTGAATCATTGCAGCAAACATGCATACAAACCTAGATGGACCTACAAATAACAACATAAACCGACGAAAACATTTAATTAAAACGTTACGTTGCAAACCAAATACCATTTAGCAGTGTTCTAAACCATTTGTAACGTTTGCCCGACGTTGTACCTATAAATTTATTCAACTTTGGCCCAACGTTGGATCAATATTATTTCAAACAGTTTTAACGTTGGCCCACCGTTGGTTCAATGTTATCTTGAATACTATCTCACGTTGGTCCAAGGTTGGTCCAAAGTTGGTCCAAAGCTATCTAACGTTGGTCCAATGTTATTTTAAACAATGTCTAACATTGGTTCAATGTTTTTTCTTAAACAATATATAACATTGGTCCAATGTTATTTTAAACAATATCTAACGTTGTCCAATGTTATTTTAAACAATATCTAACATTGGGCCAATGTTATTTTAAACAATATCTAACATTGGTCCAATGTTATTTTAAACAATAGGCTAACATCGGTCCAATGTTATTTTAAACAATATCTAACATTGGTCCAATGTTATTTTAAACAATATCTAACGTTGTCCAATGTTATTTTAAACAATATATATCATTGGTCCAATGTTATTTTAAACAATATCTAACATTGGTCCAATGTTATTTTAAACAATATCTAACATTTGTCCAATGTTATTTTAAACAATATCTAACATTGGTCCAACGTTGGTCCAATGTTATTTTAAACAATATATAACGTTGTCCAATGTTATTTTAAACAATATCTAACATTGGTCCAATGTTATTTTAAACAATATCTAACATTGGTCCAATGTTATTTTAAACAATAAGGCTAACATTGGTCCAATGTTATTTTAAACAATATCTAACATTGGTCCAATGTTATTTTAAACAATATCTAACATTGGTCCAATGTTATTTTAAACAATAGGCTAACATCGGTCCAATGTCATTTTAAACAATATCTAACATTGGTCCAATGTTATTTTAAACAATAGGCTAACATTGATCCAATGTTATTTTAAACAATATCTAACATTTGTCCAATGTTATTTTAAACAATATCTAACATTGGTCCAACGTTGGTCCAATGTTATTTTAAACAATATCTAACATTGGTCCAACGTTGGTCCAATGTTTTTTTAAACGACATTTATCGTTGGCCAAATGTTTTTTAAAACGACATTTATTTAACGTTGGCCTAATGTTGGGATAACGTTATCTTAAAAAAAAAATCCATCGCTGGCCCAACGTAAAACCATCATCTTGGGACAACATTGGCCCTCTTTGCACTAAGAACGTTGCATGTCACAAATAAAATCACCGAGTGATCCGTCATAACCTGAGTGAGCTGAGCCTTTGGTCTAAGAAATGGCTGATGTCCTTTGACCCAGAAAAAAACCCCAGAAATTATGTTGTTTTCATACATTGAAACTCCGGAAATGAATTTCATATGCAATGGTAAGAATATTCAAGTTACAGATTTTCATGAACATTTGGATTTTACGTTTAGTAGAGATGCATAATCGAACACCCATTTGGAAGGTACCATAAAAATGAATCGAAACATTTGAATGTGCTTAGAAAATTAAAGTACAGATTAAGTAGGAATAACTTAGAAAAACTTAACTTGACTTTTATAACACCGTTACTCGAATATGCTTGTTAAGTGTGGGATACTATGGGTGTGGGTAATTGTAACAAATTACAGCAACTGCAGCTTGAGACAGCCATAATTCTAACAGGTCTCCCTATTTTTACTAGTAGCAGAATTATTTATGATGATATTAGTTGGGAAACTCTAACTGAACGAAGAGAAAGGAGAAAGTTACAATTATTTTATGATATTCAACGTAATAATGCATCAGCCTATCTTTGCAATTTGATTCCACCAACAATCCATAGTACAGCTGTTTACCCCTTACGTAATGGGAATGATATAATATACCATTTTTGTAGAATTTCATTGACCCAATAATCCTATTAATATATCTATTAATCTGAACTGGTTATCAGAGAACTCTCCACTAAAATCTAACATCTTAACCTCCGGTGATTCGTCATTAACTAATGATGAAAATAAAAGAATTTTAAAGAATGCATATGAATTTATTAAAAAAGTCCAAGAGGTTATATAATTGTATAATATAGCCCACTAAAGTGCATATAAATTTATATTGTGTACAAACATTCACATCATCACATATCATCTTTTTACATATCCAATATATATAATTATATAATGTATTGTTTGCATACATGCTTTGTAAATACGCGAATGTTATACATTGTTCATGGGAAAAGGCTTTATAAGTTTGTTGTCTCATCCTTTTAGCATATATAAGCAAATAAAATATGTTTACACTTAAACTTAGAACGTTGGGGCAATATTGTCATCCGATGTCGAGCCAACAAAGTCATATTTGCTGGGCCAACGTTGTCCCAACGTTAGTCTGCTATATCTGGTAAACGTTTGGCTAGAAGTAACCAACAAGGAATAAATTCCCACTTAATCTCAATATCACGTGATATTATATACATGTACATTCAGGACGTATCCATATTAAAGGGGCATTAGCTGTCAAAATCATGATCACCGATTTGACTCAAATTCTCATATCTGATTTATAACATACTAAAACGTATATTCAAATAACAAAAAGTCTAAAATAAACAATTAACAATGCATGGACTTGATTAGATGATTCAACAATTCGTGTGTATTTTTGTCTATACGTCATCTAATTAACCATTGAATTGACCTCCGAAGATTGCAGACGGTCATTGGACCCGATATAAACATAAATTTAATTAAAAACCAATTGTTCAGAGAACAATTGAAGGTCTTTCCACCTCAACTTTTGATAATAAAGGATTATAATTTTAAAAAAGTTACAAGAATCACTTCGTTTTCATATGATTGATGGCTTCAAACTGATTCTTAAAATACAAGGTTTTTGGTTTTTATGTTTATTGCCAAATAATTGTTTACGACATGGAGCAACTTCATTACATTTGAATCGAAGTGATACGGTGACCCTTCATAGGAGTTTTCTACCCTTATATATTTGAAATCAGTAAACCCCCTACCCTACAAGTGAATGACCTTAAGTCTTTTTATATGTGATCATTTACCTCTGACTTTGAAATTGAGCTGAAGGGCAAAGGTCAATATGACATTCTAGATTTGGCTCTTTGCTACACATTTATACTGATTCATTGTTAAAGCATTAGGTCTTTTGCATATGGTTGGTAGACAATCAAAAAGGTCAACCAGAAGTGACATTATTTTAACCGGAAGTAGTAATTTTCACACTAACTTAATGAAAAAGTACCACAAGGTATTTTGGTATTTTGGTACAAAGCTCTCCACCTCAGCTTTGATAATAAAGAATTTAATTTAAAAAACGGTGGAAGAAAATATCACTTCCGGTTCATATGATTTGTTACTTAAAAACGATTCTAAAAAAAGATATCTAGGAAATTTTTCACTAAATTAGTATGAAATAGGATACTTATGGTTAAAATAATGTCACTTCCGGACTTCCGGTTGACCTCTTTAAAGGTCATATGTCTACCAACCTGATGCAAAAGACCTAATAGTTTTATAATGAACCAGTATGAATTTTTAGCAAAGGTCAAAATCTAGAACGTCGAATTGACCTTTGACCTTAACCTCAATTTCAAGGTCATAGATCAGCGATCACAGGTCATTGAAGAGTGGTTGAAGAGTAATACTGATTTATAATATATAAGGGGAGAAAACTAAAAAGGATGACCTTAACACTTCGACTTAAACAGGTTGAAGTTGCGCCATGTTGTGAACAATTATTTAGGAAAAGTATCTTTAAGTTATCATTAATTGTTGCGGTTTCTTCGGGATAAAGATAACAAGCAAAGTTCAAAATTAAGAACATGACCTTGACCTATGACCTTGACCTCAATTTCTTCAAATGAACCAAGGACTTTAGGTTTCTATGACTTATGTTGTATGAATTTATTCAACATATCACCTATGTTAAATTTGAAAAGAGAAATAACTCCTATAAGATGTCATTGGATCACTCAAATTAAACTTAAACGAAACATCCTTAAGTGTAGACGAACAATTTGGAAAAATATTTTTGTCGATATCAATTACGGTTACAGAAAAATAAAGATAACAGGAAAAATGGGTCGCGGGTAGATAACTCCTATAAGAAAAAGTGTTCGGTCACGCAGGGTGAATGGTGAAATCGTAATCGCTGTACAATATTATGGGCCAAAATCGTTTCGATGATTTCATATTGTAGGTTAAAAAAATGTTAATCGTCGATTTTACCTGTATAAGAATGATTATTTTGTGGATCGATTCAGTCAACCAAATTGTTCATCCTTGTTTCAATTTCAATTTTGGCATTCTTTTCCTTTTAATAGCTGAGTACATGCGTTACCATCCCCACCTAAGGGGTTAAATAAAAGGTCACATGAATACGGATTAAATGAGGTCGAATTATTCACTTGCAAGTGAATAATTCACCAGCGATGATACTTAGCTTATTTTGATAAAATTGAACCAAACTGGATGCCAAAAGCCAATTATTATTTCACTTTATCACTTTCATTTATAATTAAATAAAAAAAAAATCATACTTTATTCGTTTTTATATCGCGAACTCTACTATCGACCGTGGGGAACTATACCTGTTATAATGACCAGCATATGACACAACGCAGCTTCAGATTTGGTAATCATTATATAATGCATAAAGAATGTCAATAACTCGTACCTTTAAACGAACAATATGTGGGTATTCTATTTCATGTTGATATATATATTCCAATACATAACAGTACGACATGGTTATGAGCATTATTATTGTCACCTATTTAATCGTACGATTGATTTATCCAATCAATGCACAAGGAAGAATGGTCCTACATACTAACTATAGAAAATAATTAAGTGCGTCTGTCCTGACAACAGGTAATTGTCTTTATTTTTATCAATTTATGTTTTATTTCAAAACCTAATTTTATTTGGTATCACATTTAGAAAAGTATAATGATGTTATTTTTTTATTATGTTCTTGGACGTAGTATTTGCATATTTGTTGATAAATATAATCTCTAGAGTATTGTACTGTTTGTGTAAGTATGTAAGTTTCTGTGTTTATTTGTGATTTTCTTCTCTGTAAAGTTTATTTAAGTGCATCATTCGGATCACAGATACCAGTAGTCGATTTTCAGACCTGAGTTTTTACAACCAAAGGGTCGATTGCACTGACGGTGGACATTTTGTTCAAAAGAATATCACCAACCAAGTAGTCAGCACTTCTTGCTGACATTACATACCATTGACACGGTGATTTTCTGTACAATTTACTGAAATTTAGAACAATTTTGACACCTTAAAGTATTTCTACACCTAGTGATAAATTGCCTATGGTAGATTTTGCACAGTTTCGGGAAATTTGTGGTTTTGAATACTCTTCTTATTTGATAAGTGTTCAAACTGTATTGATTTAAACGCACTGACGAGTCTAGTGAAGACGAAACGCACGACAGATGTATGGCAAGCCATTTTACTATTTATTCTAGCTTCAATATATCTAATAAAGTTTAGAAGATATATCTTACAGTTTATAAGATATCTTATCAATTATATGAGATATCTTATAAATTATACGAGATATCTTATAAACTATATATTTAGATATCTTAATATATAAAATATATTAGACATCTTATAAACTATATAAGATATCTTATATAAAAGATATTTACAAGATATCTTATAAATAAAGGCAACAGTAGTATATCTCTGTTCAATAGTCATAAATCGATTAAGCGAAAACAAAACCGAGTGAAACACATCAATTTTAAGAGGAAAACAACAGAATAACAGAAACACTGAACTCAAACAAAATCCAACACACATAGTAATGGACTATTTGATAACAACTGCAAGATAACAAGATATCTTGTTTATTTTATGAGATATCATATATATATTATATATTATATGAGTTGTCTTATATAATATATAAAATATCTTAGATAATCTAGTTTTTATCAGATATTTTATTAACCTTATAATGTATCTTGTATAGTTTATAAGATATCTTATGAAGAAAAATTATATGAGACATCTTATAAAGAAAATTATATGAGGAGATGTCTTATAAAGTATATACGATATCTTAAAAGGTATATAAGATATACTATATCCTTCATAAGATATCTTATGTACTTAAGATATCGTATTTACTTTATAAGATATCTTTTATACTTAATAACATATCATAAATTCTTTAAAAGGTATCTTATAGAGTATATAATTTATCCTATAAAGTTTATCAGATATCTTATAAAGACTAGATTATATAAGATATCTTATATATTATAAGATATATCTTAAAGTTAGAATAAATAGTAAAACGGTTGCCATGCAGGTGTTCAAAATTATTAGCCTTGTCCCTTTGATGGATCCTTGGTAAGGTTTTAAACATAGGTAACATTAGAGTTAGGATTTTTGATTGATATTAATATCAAACTATAAATTATTCATTTTACTCAGTAGTATGTTTTTACTTATAAAATTTATTGTCAAGGACTCTCTATAGTCCATGAGTTCGAGGACAATGATTAACACATATCTGTACTGTGTACTATAAAAGCCAATTTGATATTATTCTGATATTTGATGACTTGTTCCATACAACGTGTGATCTTTAACAGTTTCATCAAATATCACAATATTCATAATAACAACCTTTTTATGAGCGACATTTTTGTTAATTTCTAATCCCAATACGATCTTACAAATTACGTCCGTAGACTCACACTGTTTTGATGCAGGGACTTGCTTTATAGTCTGACAGCCTTGTGTACTTTTTGATTTGAAACATTGTTTGCAGCAAATTTTGATAAATAAGGTTATTTTCGGTACTTCAAATAATTTTGTGGAACACTTCGTTCAATGTAAATATTTCTGTAAAAGACATCAAAGACATTGTCAACTTAAAATGTACATTTTGCCTAGTACACTACTGTGTAGCTTACCTTATAGACACGATTCATCTGCCGTCTTTATTGTTGACAACATCTCTTGAATTGCAGAAACAACTGGCTAATCTATGATCTGCTATGTCTAGTATGGAGTAAGATCAAGATTAAAAATAAAAAAATCAGCAGTACTTTGTGCTCTAAATGCGCATTTCGGAAAATATAAAAATGTCTTCTCAATATGATGCCCAAGACCAAATATTTAGATATATGCATGTAGTTAGATATGCAAATAAATCTGCAATTTCGGCGGCATGTATCCACATTTCTAAAGATAGTGGATGGGAAAAGAGGGGCATCGTGGAGTCATGAGGAGACTGTCATATTAATTGAACTCAACCTACGTGACCAGGATGAGCTGTTAAATACACCAAAAAGTGTCCTGGAAAATTCGAAACGAATATGTACTGATATAAAGCCAGGCTTACTGCAGACGTAATTCCAGCGTTCCTGATGAAGGTTAATCAAGAAAAGCGCTTTGGACTCTTAAAAATTATAAAAGAGAGCCGAAAGATACCGAAGGGACATTCAAACTCATAAGTCGAAAATAAACTGACAACGCCATGAATAAAAAAGAAAAAGACCAACAGACCAACAATGGTACATAAAACACAACAAAGTAAACTAAAGACTGAGCAACACGAACCCCAACAAAACTGGGTTGATCGCAGGTGCTCCGGATAGATAAGCACATCCTGCTCCACATGTGGCACCCGTCGTGTTGCCCATATGTTAGTAGAAACCAGTTAATAAAGTTTTGTTTTAATTTTTAGCATCACTGGGTCGATATCGCTACTATTGGACTATCAGTCCCGAGGTAGCCATCAGAAAAGTACTCAGGACTTAGGTACTGACATAATTTTAGAACATATCTTTCTAAAACTGTCCGTTTATAAATTTCGAAATTATAAAGAAACTAATGTTTCAACTTCCTCAAGCATAGTCCTCTGTGGTCATATAGCTCTTAAATTGTTTCGATTCGTATACATCCTTTGATTTGAGCGATGAAGGTAAATCCAGAAAAGCGCTTCGGATCCACGAATTTTATACGTTAAACGTTTGCAGCAAACTAGCAGCAAACATTGATGCAAGTTTGCAGCAAATATTTGCTGCAATCTTTAACTACCATTTTACCATGCAAATGAAACTTGCGATAAGCTTGCGGCAAACATAATTATGCAAATTAGATTTGCTGCAAACTTGCCCCAAACTGTTCAAAACCAGTTATTTTTTTCTGCTGCGTGTTTGCAGCAAATTTGCAGAAACTACACATATATTTGGCAAGCCGTTCTCGTCAAAACTATGTTAAAACCCTTTTTACGAAATATTACACACCGAGAATAAAAAAAAACCACACTGAGATTTTAAAACATAACATAACACACTGAGATTTTAAAATTACACACTGAGATTTAAAAAAATGAAAAACTCACACTGAGAATTTAAAATTACAAACTGAGATTTTAAAAAGACACACTGAGATGAAATAAATTGAAAAACACACACTGAGAATTGTTTATTACACACTGAGATTTAAAAAAAATACACAGTGAGATCAATATGCACATTATTAATGGACAGTCATGAGATGAATAATTCATCAGATTAATATCATGGTCTCCCGAACTCTCGTCATTTTAATGAATTGTGGTTTCTTCAACCAACATTCGTAATAAATTTTAAGACTTAACATCGTTTTTTGCTAACTCATATTCATAACTCTGTTGCCTATAATTCAGATTATTACTAACAGTGTATCGGGATTTTTTTCTTAAACTGTTTAAGCATGGGCCCCTTTTCAAAAGTCTTTCAACTGTTATCCTGATTTCGCAAGGTAATCTTTTATCAATTTGTTACATTTATATGCTATATACATGTAAAAATGTCATTGCATTGTTTGTCTTTTTGCAGATGGACCAATGTTTTCTTATAATTGTAATAACGTTTTTCACCATTTGGTAATATTTTGTAATGAGAGTAAGTTGGTATTTTTCTTGTTCTATTGGTCTTTTATAACGTAGTTTTTATATACGTTGTATTTCTAATGTTTTTTTTTTTAAACATTAGCCGAAAAATTGAAGGACTAACGAGTTCTGTCCCCTAGTTGTTTAACGCTTGTAATAGATTCAGATTGAGTATGCTAATTAGATATGTGCGCATACAAAGAATACTTGCAAAATTATCTGAGATTTAGTCAGTATATCTAAGGAAATACATACATGCATTTCATTTTTGAAAAGGGGTCATGCTCAAATGTAGTTATATATATATTGAAATAAAAACGAATAAATCTGAGATGTGTATTAAGCATATAGCTAGGTAATAATTTCATTATAGAACTGAAATGAACTTTATTAAACAAAATATATTTAATCAGTTAGAAAATCCAAACTTATAATAGCTAGAGTATTTCAAACATAGTTGTTAATTTAAATATATATGATGGTGACATTAATTATCTTATTATAAATCTACAGTTCTATGAGTAATTTGTACTTACAAAATTACATATTGAATATCCTATATTATTGAACCAAAATGCCTCCTTGATCTCTAACGTATAACATTTCTCAAATACTATCAACATGACCTAGCCAAAAATTTCAAATGGTTAGCTTCCAGGAAGTGAAAACAAGGCATGCCCAGTCAGTATTGTGTAATTCTTTGAATTTTCTTGCAACCATATATTGGTCAAAGATTTCTGCATTCTTGCGGCAAACATGTTTTATTATCTTAACTCTTTCGATCTTACTGATAACAGTGATGTTTCTGCAAACTTTCCACAAGCTTGCAGCAAAAAGCTGCAATGTCTTTGGGGGAAATTATCAGGTAGCTACAAACATCTGTAAACACCTTTTTTTGTTTTCCTGCAAACGTTTTGTCTGCCGCAAACCTGCAGGAGGACTTCTGCAAATTTGC